GCGGCCGCGGATTATCCGCGGACGAAAAACTAATTAAGCCGAAATACCGCGCCGGCCGAAACTCGGATCGAGCTTGGGGATTCCGTCGTCCTCTGCGTGCCGAATATTTTCCGAGGCTCGCGAAGATATCCCCGGATGTACGAGCCAAGTGAGAGCCACCGATGCTTACCACCGGGACAAAAACCGATGATCGCCGAGACTCTCTTTCTCTCTCTCTCTCTCTCTCTCTATCCCGCCTATCTAAATAGTTGTCGGAGTCCATAAATCCGACCGCTTAAAGCTAACTCGTGCTACTCGCTTAACCCCTTTTATGCGCGAGGTATACTTCGGCAAGGATTCAAAGTCCCATCGAGCGCTCCGTGATAACCGGAAGGAAGCAAGAACGTCCGCTCTCGCGCAGTATTTCGACGATCTTTAATCGCCAAGTTTTAATACCTTAACTCCAGGCTTCATTATGCAGAAACTGATAACTTCGGTTCAAAAGCACTATTGATTCTGATAAATGATTTTCGGAATTATTAAATTCGATAATAATAAATACTTAAAAATAATTAATAAAGTTGATTTTATATATAACATGTACCTTTTTTTACATAATTTAACTTTCTAGAATTTTTTTCCTTATTCCAATTGTTTTGCATTTATTCTAAAAGCTAGTCCGAGTTAAGAAGAAACTGTTTCGCCATTCTTGTACAGATATTGGGGGGCGTATAATTTTGACTCAGAACGTAGGAGAGCCATCAGATATCATGGAAATGATATCCGCATGGAGAATCTCCACTTTAGACCGCACCTTACTCTAAGTACATTCTAAGACGGACTTACCTCGTTGAAGATTAAGCTTAAGTTCTCTCCGCAAAGTGTCACTTTGTCCCGTCCTTATCGTGGCAATTGACTTTGGCTCGTATCGTGTTAGTTGTGTATTTGCCGCAAGCCGCGAAAAATATTTTACAATAGTTCCCAAATCGTATATTTTTCGAAAACAACTCTCATTAACTGGCTTTAGAAACTTGCTATAACTTCCATTGATCTCCAAAAAAAAACGCTTCAATTTATTTAGATTTCTTAATTTATTTAGATTTTCGATATTTAAACATCTCTCATCTTTTGTTACTGTGATCTTTCGCATATATTCCGTATGTAATTCTAATACAAAAATTATACCGTAAAATTGAATTGTAACATTATCCTGGAAAACGCGAGCCGAGAGAAGCGCAACGAAAATGAGTTCTTGCAAGATGCATCGTGTCAGGAAGAAACAGGTCGCACGCGTACCGATTTTATAATGAAAGAAAAAGAGAAATATGAAAGAGAGCAATCCGCGTGAGAGAAAGAGAAGAGATGAATTTTTCTTCGTCTCTTCCCACGCCACTAATAGAAGTGTCACGAACAGACGGATCTTATAATCCGTTCGTGCTAATTTCAAACCGCATCGGGAACAACCGCAGACACGAAGAGCGATCGAACCACAGTTTTCCCAGATTTGTCGTCTCTTAAAAGCTTTAAACTTTTCCAACCGCTCATAGAACTCGTGACACAGAATTTCTAACAGTCCAGATTAGGACATCTCGACTTCTATCTCTCGCCATCACATCGATTCGCGATCAAATATCTTCAATTTTATTTGCTCCTCTTATCTTCAATCTCATTTTCAATTAAGAAAATATATGTACAATTCAATTTTTTATATATTAAGTAGATTTTTTTATGTATGTTAAAATATATATCAAGAAAACTATTTTTGAAAAATAGGCATGTGCGTGTACATTATTCTTTTTATTAAAATGTTGTTAATATTTAACTAACTTATATGATTATGAAAATATATATGTATCGCAAGTTTTTTCTAGAAATCGCTAGTCTCTTTTTTCAATAACATGACTGAATTTACAAAGGATTTTTTTATTGAATATTATTTTATTGAATTTTAATTTATTTAATTTGTTCTATTTATGCCAAAGTTTTTTTTATTTAATTGAATGAGAATTTTATTTTATTTAATTGAATTTTAATTTATTTAATTTGTTTTACTATTTGAATTTACAAAGTATTTTTTACTTTTAAATATTTATAATGCACGTATGCACACACGTGTCTATATATTATTTGGAGATTCTTCTTGTCCGTAATATTACGGATCTTTAAAGCGATTACGGTTAGCCCGTTAAACGTACTAAAAGACCTTCGTCAGCCAAAGATAATTAAAAAGGTAATGAGTAAGCGGATACCTGTTCGTAGCGAAAAGGAAAACGGTACCGCCTTAAACATGCTTCGACAGCCGACTGATAAAATAATGACGAAAAATCAATCTTCTCCAAAAGATAGAATTTCTCTTCAATATTGAAGGAAGCTGAAATTATCGATTGATCGCTATTATATCAAAAATTTGCAAATAACGGTAGAAATTCAACAAAGTGCAAAAAGCATTTAAATGTGAAACTAAATGTTTTGGCTAATATAAAAATATTATGTTTATTATATATTTTATTTTATATTTATTATACTAATTAAATTATATTAAAATTATTATTACATGTTTGTAGTTAAACTCTGTGAACAAGAAAATTATACATTCTTTAAAATAAATATCTTAAATATTTTTTTAAGTATATTAAAAAGAAATATATGTGCTTTTAAAAATATAAAGGTATGAATAAAATAAAAATCAACATATGTGAAGTTGATGTATTATTTTATGAAAACTTATAAATAATTAAAAGTTTTTTGTTTTTAATAGTCTTGATAATTTAAATAAATAGCTCTATTTATTAAATAATGAAAGTAAAAACATGCATCAAGATAACTGGGGCGTCAGTTGACGCAGCATCTTATTTTGTCTTGTAATATTTTCCTTATCATTTTTCAAAGATTTTCAAAGATTTATAGCTTTACGTGAATTTTAGAAAGAGTTCTACTTCAAAAAAAAACATTGATTAATTTTAAATAGTCACGAGCAAACGTGCATATATATAAGTATCAAGATGAGTCAATTTTCAAAAATTCTGTTTATTCTTACAGAAAAACGTTTTTACGTATTTATAGATGTATTTTTTGGACGATAAAAATTATTCAAAAACTTTTGAATATTGCTTATATTTAAATCTTTTTAGAAAAGTCATAAATATGCTTAGAATTATACTAGAATTATTTTAAAGTAAACAAAATTCTCGAAAATTTTAATAGTGTTTTACTTTGATATCCACTTGTGTTTGCTCGCGGTTATTTTATATTAATCGATACTTTTTTAAAGATAAAACTTTTTCTAGAACTTGAGAATGTAAAAGTAAAGTATAAATAAAATTAAATTAAATTAAATTAATATATACAAACGTGTAAAGCTCGAAAATTTAAAAATTTGACAATGAATAGTAAAAAAAGTTTGGTAAAACAAACAGATAATACGTGAATTTATCATCTTACAGTTTGTCCTGACTTTTTTTATTTAATGGCTAGAACTATTTCTCAAACATATTTAGGAAGTATAGAACTGTTAAAAGTAAAGCTAGAACTTTTAATTATTTATGAACTTTCACGAAATTATATTCCATCTTGACAAAGATCCAAAATATAATTTTTTTTATTTCGTTCTCTCATCCATAATTTAAGTCTTTATGCAGCATCTATATGATTATTAGATAACTTGATACTCGCTATGTACAGTATGTTACAAGAACTTATATATCGTACAGTATGTTACAAGAACTTAGTACTTTTCTGAAACATGAAGAAGATTAAGGTGTGAGTGGAGTCTTCGTACAAAGCTTTTCCATAATGAGAAACTTCGTTCTCCAGTTTTTCCACGCGATCCGCATTTTCTTATTTCTGTTTTAGCAACTTTTTCTTGCGGATCATGTCCTGCATGCTGACCGCGAAGATTAAAAACTAGCAGACAACTTATATTAATGTGATGGTATCCCGGCAAACGTTTTTCTCAAACTTACTAGCAACTTTGTTAATAAAATATATTTAACGCTACTTACTAATCGTAAAAAAAAAAAACAGTTTAATTATATTTTTGGAAACGGTAGAGATTTTGACGATAGAAAAAACAATAAAAAATTAAAATTTATTTACTATAAGAAGCAGAAGTAATGTTAATGTAATTTTAATTTGTAATAAAAAAATGAAGCATTTTAATAATTTCAACGAAAAAATGAGAATATAAAAACAAAACATTTTTTAAGTAAATATTCATGATATTTTGTAAATATAATCGTTCCTGTAATTTCAACAGCATACTAATCTTTTAAAAAACTTAAATAAATAAATAAGAGAAAATTTTTGTGACTTTTGCAGATTATTCGTATCTAAGAAAATAGTCGAGAAAAATATTCAATATCAACATAGCACGTATATATTTTGCAAAAATTCGCAGAGATCTGGTTATCTGTTTCTCTTGTTACGCTCGCATAGGAAAATATTTACTTGTCCATGTGATCTAACGGAACAACTTGATTCCTTTTGTACTACATGGAAAATATTTTTCAAATCCCAGTTCTTCTACGTATCGGAGAAAAAAATAAAAGCGTTGCTTATCATGAATGAGGAAAACCTCACATATCTCGCGTGCTTGATTTTTATATCATTTTGCATAGAGAGAGTACGTTACTTATTTCTAGTTTATCATTATCACATTAAATACACAGATTTATTGCATTAAAAAAGAAAACTTTACACAGAGATATTGCAACATTATAATTACAATTTTTATTTATAATCTTAGATTCCTTCTCAAATTTCTCTAGTTAAATAACTTTGGATATTTCTTTTATATTACCTTAAAATTTTTATTTTGAGAATATTAAATAGTAAGTATACATATAAAGAAAATTCGTATAAGTAAAATTTTTTAAAAATTAAATAAAGAATAAGGACTTATTTATTTACATTTATTAAGGTTTAATTCGCAAATTTTATACCAATTACTTAAAATCAATTGTTAAAAAAAATATTTAAAAATTTTCAACACAAGATTTGTATCAATAACTTCATTTATTTAATATTTTGTGAATAATATACAAGTGTATATAATGGTGCAAATGTGGCAACATTTTTTTAGAGATATTCGAATTTAAATAATGTATGCGTTAAAATTTTGTTTTTTTTTGTTTATTAATTACACATTAATGGTTATCAGTTATAGCAATCACAAACTAATATATTAAATGTATTATTAACGATTTATGTGGCACAAAAAAAAGTTTAAAATTATGTTATCGTATATAATCACATAACAACAGAAATATTACGAGATTACGTAATATATAAATCTATTATATAAGTCTATCATTGGGACGAGGATCAGGATCTTCGGGGTAATTTTCTATAATTCTGACTGATTCCTGTGTAGAATTTAAACTTTTATTCTTTCTTCGTGGCGGCGTAGGAATTTGTGTCAAATCTTCAGCTACATTCTCCAAATTTTGAAATAATCTGCTAGGCTTCTCAGGCACTTCTCCAACAGACTTTGCGCTATTAATCTCAACATCTCCAAAAAATTCAGACGACTTGACATCAAGATTCGTCGTTTCATTTACATTTTTCGCTTCACATTCTTCATTATTTTTGACCTCGTCGTCCGTCACGACTTTCTCTTCCCAGATGCAGAAGGACACTTTTCTTTTCTTCGGCGTCGACGTCGAATCTCCGAGGATTTGATCCAAGGACACAGACAACAGATCCGACGTCTTATGCTCAAGTGTTTTATCGACTAGAATGTCATCGCTAACCGAACTATGTTGATCTGACATACTTCTATTGACTGCATTGTGCTTGTCTACGGGTACTATTTCTGGCTCGAGAAGCTTCTCCATAGACTCCGTCTGTTTCGAATCTCCGTTCGTATTTTCTCGCATCTTTGCAGTTTCGTCGGGCTGATCCTCCTTCTCTAACATGTCCGAAAGCGCTGCCTCGAGCTCGGTGAGGCTCGGCGTCATCGAGCTGAGGTTGCTTCCGTCAGCCGCCTCGTCATTCAGAACCTTCAACAAGGTCGAATGATCATTGTCCAGGATCTGAGCCTTGATTCTCGGTTCCGGACTCGGCGGCGGCGTCTTCATCCGCTGGCAATCCTTCTTCGATTCGTTGGTCGTATCCTTGGTTAACTTCTCGTCGAAGAAGTCGATGATTTCCTCGTCCACTCCCTCCAGCATCTCCTGCGGCAGCGATTCCTCCGATATCGTTCTGATTAGCTTGTTCGTTACGTCGGAATGTGCACGCAGCTCCTTCGACTCGTACGGATCGTCGTATGGTTCGCTCTCGTTCGACAGATTACGGCCGAAGATCAGGCTCGATTGGTCGGATCGATCGGATTCCCGGATGACGACGCCGTTCCTGCAGGACCCTCCGATCGTATCTGCCAAATGGAACGTCCGCGGTTTAACTAGTCACGTACGCGAATAGTTGGGTACCTTCTACCACTCCGGACGATTATCCGAGACCGACCGGGGATAGAATCCAAGAGCGGATAAGTACGTGGGTAAGGGAAGGTGCGCGCGCGATTGCGGTCGGACGTATATTCGGTTTACATAGTCGACGATTTCTTGTAAATAGGGCGAAGAATTTCACTCATCGTCACTCTTCACGGATCAAAAGATTCCTATCGAGCCGTTTCTCTTCTCGACTTTGCGGAACTTTTCAACGAGGAGATTGCGATAGGATTTCGTAAAGTTCAAATCATTCAAAATATATGTCTATGAATTCAAATGACATTTTATTTCATTATTTTTATCACAAGGATTTTTTTAGAAATTATGAAGACTAGACTTTTATAATATTAAATATATCTATGAATTAAAACAAAATTTTATTTAATTATTTTTATGACAAGGATTTTTTAGAAATTGCTAAATTAATCTTTAGCGTCAATCTTTCTGGCAATTAAATTTTTTTTCGAAATTATGAAGACTAGACTTTTATAATATTAAATTTCTATGTTTGAACGTGCATGTTACGATTTCATTTTCGTATCGCTATATTATTATTATTATTACTGATATTTACCTAAAGCCGAGCGATGAAGTTCCTCGTTCAAAAAGAACGGCTCTCTTTTAACTGACGACGTCGCTAACTCACAAGTCGGTGATACGTGACAGATTTCCGACATTTTGGGGGGATCGAAATATCTTGAAAATAAATATATCACGTATTAAGTTATGTTAAACCAATTTCGCGTACAAATTTGCGCTTATTGATCTCGGTACCTATCTCGATCTGTGAGCCAATCATCGGGATATTTGGATTCTCTATCAGAATCAAACATCGGTGACGGTGCCTGGCCGAAAGATTCCGGTTTCTGCAACGGCGAAGTCAAATCTCGACGGACACACGAGATTTCGACCTCGGTCGTTTCGGCCTCCCCGGAATGTTGCGAAAAATCGACGACATCCGTTTCCTTGGAAAATCTTTTCTCTGCTGTTTCGTCGTTAAGGATCACTGGCGAATACTGGAACTTAAATTCAAGATACTAATTTAAACATGTTTTCGTCTCTGGATAATATTTGATCAATTATTGCGCGCGAAGAAAGGGTGAGTCAATTTGACGAAATATTTTCCAATCAAAGCGATTACGTTTTACGAGAGAAATAAATTCGCTAGACGTCGTAGAGATAATTTAAATCGATTCGGAATCGCGAAGAGAATGAAGATACATTTCTCGTACGATTTTTCGTCGTTTTAAAAACAGCGCTAACAAGGCGTCGACTTAATATCGATTTCGACGTAGCTCACTTTATAAACGTACCTCGCCGGAGAGTCGCCGGTTCGGGTCGCAATTACTGATGTCGCTGAGATCCCAATCCTCCAATTTATGCGGATCGTACTTCATGAATCCGCCGTCGGTGACCTCGTTCTCGCTGGAGCCCAGCTTCCCCAGCACCTGATGAACCGACAGGTGCTCGATGCTGCCACGTCGCGGGATATAATCTTCGATGTGTACGCAGGTTTTCTGCAATCCGGAATAACCATGATATAATCGTTCCCTTAATTCTCTTCAAACATTAACATGCGCGTTTAACTTATAAAAAAGTGGGGAAAAAATTAAAAGGATTTATAAAATGTGATTTATCAAATATTTTTGAATAGTGAAATATACAGAGTGTCCTATATAGGAAATTGCTGAAAATAATCAGGTGTCATTTTTGAATGCACGCAGTTATTGAGAAAACAAAAATTGTATTGAAAAGAGGAAAGTCTACAGTTTTTAATGGATATCTATAAAATGTTTGTATATCAGTTTATTTTATTGATAAAAAGTAATGAAAGAAGTGCTAATAATTACATAAAATCACATAAACTAGTGATAAATATTTTCAACAGTGCCAGATTTAATAACAGCCATTAAAAGGATCATCGATAACAAAAAAATGACATGTTGGAAAGTTTTTACGAGTTTTCGTAAAAGAATAGAAATTTCTCAATAACTGCAAGCATTAAAAAATGACAGCTGATTATTTTCAGTAATTTCCTCTGGGACGCCCTATAAAAATATTGATTTAAAGTACTTATGTTAGTAAAATGGACTTACACTCTTTCTGTAATAAGTGATCGCAGAAACTCTGAAAGAATCATCTGTACATTTGTTCGCGAGTATCTTGATATTTCAGAACTCCTGCGTTTGATCAATGAAATAAAATGACGGAGAATTATTATACTGAACTACCTCGGAGAAAGGCGACAGGAAAGATTCGGCCGGAAGCGAGACAGTGCTGCTTCTGACGGGTCTCCTCGACTTCATTTTCTCCCCTGTGCCTCTCTCGTTCTCTGCCGTACTTTTCGCAGAATGCCTAGACACGTCCAACTCATCGTAATTCGGCAAGCTAACGGTGCTGTAGTTCTTCGTCCTTGTATTTGCTTCCGGTCTTTCGTCGTCCCTCGAGGGATCCCTGATCCGCTGCTCGAGCTCCTTCGACTTCCGTCTGTCCTGGCGATTAGGGGTCGAAGAGTCCTTGATCGACTGACTCCCGGCGAATCGCTCGTATTCCTCGTTCTCAACAACTTTCCGGTGATGGTGCCCCGACTCCGAAGTCCTCCAACTTTTCTTGTCGGTGGACGTCCTCCTGCCGGAAACCACCTCGCTGGATATTATCCTTCCGGTGCCGTTAACCTATCGAGAGAAATCATTATTTTCCTTATCCAAGTCTCGAATGAAACGAGGAATTCGAAATTAAGTAGTCTCTAACAGCACGTTTACATATATATTTATCTTTTCATTTTTACGTATAAATTCAATGCAAACCGTGAATTCTTCATCAATAATTTTCGGTAAATTTTATTTATAAAACAATTTTATCTGTCGCAGTTCGCAATATGTATAACATATTTCCTTTAATTTAAAGCAGTGAGTAAATAAAATATAGTCTGGATAAAATAATGTGAAAAAAGGTTCGTTTATTTTAATTTTTAGAGCTATATTTATATATATAGCATACTTTATTTTAATATGATGTATTAGAAATTATATCATATTAACGCCATCTTTTTAAATTATAAAAATTACACCTATTAACAAAGGTAATGAAAATTTTACAAGTTTTATAGGCCATCTTTTATAATTATGTCATTTTTTATGTGGATATCGCTAGATTTTTTCCCTCGTCAAATAGCTCGATAATTTAAGCGTGATGCTAATGATATACGTGTTACGCAATCGCGTTTTTTCTACGTCGATGAAAATGAACGTTTTAACTAAAGGAATATAGATCGCTCCACACAATTAACGTCACGCAACGTGGCTCTGCAAAAGTCATTACATTTTGTATTATTTATTCAAATTAATCAAAACAAAGATAATCAGAGTGTCTAGCTGTTCTTCCAATGTTCTAAAATTTTGTTTGTTTTTGAAAAATTCTGGAAATGTACTTAAATTATATCCTTGATTTCTTTTCTTGCTTCTAAACATTCAGCTAAAAGAACAGTTGATACTATTTGAGTACAAAATATTTTATCTTACTTTGCAAATAATATAATACATTTTTTATTTAGAAGCCCAAAAATATGTGCATTACGCATAAGTTATTTCTAGATTTTAAGCATTTAAATATAATATAAGAGAACACTGTATTTAATAATTTGTAATGCATATATATTAATTTTCATTAACATGCAATTATATCGATTTGCTAAAGAAAATTCAGCTTTCGATTTCTTGTACATCTTTATCACACTATTGTGAAAATGATGAAATTTGATTTCTGCAGCAAAGAGTTTTGAAAGATCTGAAAATTGGCGATCGCGTTACTCACTTTATGCTCGTAGACCTCCTTCGTCCTTCGTCCTTCGTGCTTGGGCTCTTCCGGACAGATCGTTCCTCGCGTCTCGACGTCACCGTCGCGGTCATCGGCACTCGTCTTTGGCGATCTGACCGACAAATATAACGGTTCCTCGCACGTATCGCCGCGTCTCAAATTGTTGCTTACGCTCTCAGGAATCTCGTCCGGTTTTGGCGGCAAGGGTCTGCTCCTGTTTCTTTTTTTTCGCCTCGGAGGTGGCACGGGAATTACGTCCTTTAGATTGGAACCTATATAGTAGGGGCAAACATATTCATCCGAGATTTAAACGGGCGAGCGTGCATACACTTTTACAGTTACCAGCACAACGACGTCTGTAGGCATGCAGATTGAACGACTTTAACGACTTTAATAATGTCTAACAAAATCGGTGCGCCATTACTTGCGCCATCGTCGCAGCATTAACGCGACTCGTTAAAGATCTATGTAGAGTACAGCGATAAATTATACGGGCTTATAATATGCTTGGACAAGAGATGGAGGGAAAAGAGGGCAGACGGTTAAATTTGTGCGAGAACCAAGGCTTGCTTGGTTGCTTGCTTGCTTGCTTGCTCGTGGCATACGCCCCGTTTACGGCTTCATAAGCTGCGGTAGTTGAAATTGCGTTCCACGCGAGACGATAGAAAGGTAACCGCGAATATATTTGGCATAACGAACGGATTTACGCGCAATATCGCCAAATTATTTTTGTATCAACAATTTTTTATTCGATGCGCATCTTATTTTATTTTCTTGGAAATATCAAGGAAATGTATTGACATTTTTTCTTCGACGAATTAAAATTTAAATAGCGATATAAAAAAAATGGAGATCTTGGTGATATTATATTATTTCATAAATTTATAGGTGTCTACATTTATTTCAATTTTTTATTAATTTTTTTTATGATTATATCAGTTCTTTTAAAAAAGACAAATTTATTAAAGAAGAAAAGTTTGAAATAATATTATATTAAAAAATTTCAATTTTTGATTGATTTTTTCTTATGATTATTTATATAGGCATCAATTCTGGAAAACAATTTCTCAGATTCCATTTTTTATTTGCTTTAAAAAAACTGATTTATAAAAAAAATTAAAACAATATTTTCTGATTGATAAATCAAATCTAAACTTTTACTTTAATCGGTTTTGATATCGTTTATCAAATATTTTGACGAGATAAAATAATTTATATAAAATATATAGAAAATTGAACCGGGCACTTAAAATTGTCCTCAATAGACTTTACATTCCACCGCAATTCCATTTCGCTTCGCGTCACACGTCTTCGGTTTGTACCTTAACGATCCACACCGGCTGTACAATCTGACGATAAATTATGAGCTTACAGCTGGATGTAGGTGTGGTAGCGGGATACAGACTAGTGTCGGCGGTTGAATTCGTGAGAGGCGAGCTCGCTCTCGGCGGGCTAGGCACTTCTAGATTAACGTCCACCCAGTCGCTGGGATGAAAGGGCCTGTCCATGGAGTCTATGCTACGTCCTCTCGCAAGCACCTCCCTTGGTGGCGAGCCGGCGTATCCTATTTCGGAGCTAAGCAGAAAAGATTAAGTGAGAAACGCCACTTCCCCTTTTCAGATGCGCTATCTCGTATATACGAATGTAAATATGTAATATCGCCACGATGTCGAATTTAATACGTGTAATCAAGCACCGTGCGAGCGCATCATTAGAAAATTCATTACGATACGTGTGCAATGATGATATCTTTATATCGTTATACAAACACGAACAACTGCAATTTTCCTTCTTCTGAAATTTTCTTCAATCAAATATTAAACTGTGTGTAGTTTTTTCGAATGATTCGTTTAATTAAGAATTTTTGAAAAATTGCATTTTAAATATGCAAATATATATAATCATACATAGATGATATGATATCAGTATAGATAATTTTGCATTGAGAAAAACTTAAGTCTCATTCTCTGTTGTTTAAATAATTAATCGAGGCAGATAATGACGAGAAAAAAACGACATGAGATGAATCTGCATGAAAAATATTACGGATGAGAAAATCTGGAAGCATTCGGTTGTTAATTCTGTACTGGTTTCGAAATAATTCACGTCCATCAAAAATTACAGCTCGATGCACCGAAATAATCTGGAATAGCTGCGATGCAGCGTAACCTAATATATATATATATATATATATATATATATATATATATATGGTTTATCGCAAATGCATTCCGTGTTTCTTCGCGTCCCCTGAGCTATAACTCTTTCGAGACGCGAAACATTACTGGAATTTCTCTCATACAGCCTCCTCCTCGCGCACGAGAGTGCCTTTCAACTTTGTACAGAATAACCCCGGTGCACGCGAACGATTTGAAAATACCCACAAAGAAGGAAATTCCATTGGTCTCGCCAGAGTATCTTTTATCAGTGATTTATTTACATTGAACTAACATCAAATATAGAGTAACATTACAAACTATCTAGTTGCACTAGATAGAATCAAGAATAAGTTGTCTCGAATTTTTTAAATCAACCATTCATAATAAATAGTTATATAAAGATAATAAAGAGAGAGTTTGTAGAGAGACAAAGAAATATTATATAGGGCAATTCTAATTAATCTCTAAATTTTTTTCTACATTAGAAATAATAATAAATCAATATGCACACTTTCTTCTAATGTAATCGGAATACTGGAAACTTGATAAAACAAGCTTAAAACGAAAAACTTAAGGAAAACAAATCAAGTATTTTCGTAATGTTAACAAAATGCTATGAATAACCGATTAAAATCGGTATTCTGTATTTTGTTCCTCTTATTCTGAATATATCGAATATGAATATGATTGCTCGAGCTGCACCAACGACGCTGAAACAGCCTATGACACGTTTATTTGCTATGTTAACTCGCGCACGTACATATGAGTCGATGCGTAATTTATGCCACGGCGTGCGCGAATAATTTACGCGAAATCCTCATTTTCGCTGTTCTTGCGAGCTCAAGTGAATTAAAATTCACGTTGTCGAAACAATTCGTGCCACGGGCATAATATTACGAACATATCTGTTGTGCGCGAGCTCTGTCAGAATAGATTTATAAAATCTGCATATTTTCAATGCTACGAACGTGATTATTAATACGCGTTTCAATCAGCCATTTTTCACATTTAATTTGCATAATGTCAAAAGATTCATTTACTGATGCGATTTACTGACAACAGTGTGGATACAACGGTTCCGCAATTTCTTGCTAATAATTATCGAAGTGATCAACTGTGAAAAGCTATATTACGATAAACGCATAGCTTTTCGTCCCTTAATTTTACCTCTCTTCGGCTCTAATGCGAAAATAAACAGTACTATATGCATCATTAATTACGATCTGATGATAAACGTGATTCAGCGCCAAACAGTCTAACAGTGCCCTGTGAAGAATATCTTGTCAGTTACGAAATTGTTACAAAATTTCCACATCGTAATTTTACCCGTGCTCGTTTCACTCATTATACAAAATGTGTTAATTAATAAATTTTATCGGCAAAATGAGCTTTCGTCGACGCAAATAGACATTGACAATTAACATTATTTTACGCTACGCCATTTAAATCTGAAAAATATTTTCCCATTAAATCCTTTATTATATTCCTAAGTTTTTGACTCAATTAAAAAATAATTTCTATTATTTCATAAATAAAAAGATCTCAATAAAGATAAAAATATTGAGATATTTATGTTAAATCATTGTAGTATATAATGTTTATACAGAGAAACTTTATATTATTAAAATTTATTTCTCATCAGATAATAAAATAGAACAAGTGATCTAATTTCCAATATTTTAATATAACTTAAAATACTTTGATATATCGGAAATTAAACTTGGGGAAAAAACACGCGTTATCGTGAAATCTGTAAAAAATCTACAAGGTATTTACAAACTGGGTACACACCTATACGAGTACTCGCGTATTATAGATTGTGATATGATATGGCAGGAATGCTTGTCTATCTGCGCGATATATTTAATGACAATAAATTAAAGATATTAATTCGCCGTGTGTGAGGCAGCGAACTAATGACCTGATCATTACCGTAGTAAAGTTATCGATCGGTTTACTCGTTCTCCCAACGAGACAAAAAATGTAATTGAAGCGGTCGCGTATCTTATCACGTGCATTTGTGAAAAAAAAGAAAGAAGATCTAAGAGAAAGTAGATTTCTTTGAACGGGCGAACATAATTAAGCAATGGAATTCTATAGCAGTTTTGCGCGAGTTATGCATAACGTGTTACAAATCGCTTTACCTTGCACGTTTTCATCCAGATTCCTAAAAAGATTACTGAGATTAATGTATGCTATTTATTATCGGCGTATCCGAAGTGTGTTATCGTGCACTTCTCTCTACAAAGATTACCGAGAAGATATGTATGTCTGAGAAGCAGAACATCGTAAATCCAAAAACTCATTATTTTTCAGAAATAGCGCATATATAAATCTAGATTTTCTACTTTTCACATAAATTAAATATACGTGCTTTTCACATAAAGTAATTAAATAAATGCACAAGATAACTCACATACTCAAACAAATGGAAAAATAGCGTCCTTGATGTTTATTTGAACAGATTTCATTATAGTAAAAAATTCTACTCATTTTTCTTATTTTTACTGTATTTTTTATCAAAAAAAAAAATTAAAACTTCAGTCTGCTTATTTAATTCCGTTAGCTTGTAAAATGTATTTTTCTAATTACAGACATCAAAATTAATAATTTGAGATATACTCTCTCCGCTTTCTTATTAGACATACTTAGATATACACGATAGTTTTTATTTTACTTTCGCACCTGAGAGCCAGACGGTCTACTGACCTTAAAAAGGAATCGGTAGAACGAAGCGTAGGATGAGAGCGAGCTAAAGCTACCGACCCACGCTCGATCATCGTTTTGTGTATTCACTGTCACGCGGCCTAAAAGCTGTCTGAATATGGGATAAACCTGTCATGTGGCGTAGATCCTTTTCCACGATAACGAGAGAACCAGGGGACCAACATTCTGCCCGCAATGCGTCGCCCATTTTACATATAACATCACATATAATGCCCCAATTCCAAAAATATTCGCTATCGAAATTTATAGTTGCTCTTCTCTCGCAATCGACACATTACGATAACGCGAAAATTTATCTCAACTAATTATTGTGTGATATCAGTAATAATTTCCCAAACATATAATATTTACAAAATAATACAAATAATGATAATAATAATATTAGGTTTTTAGCTACTTCATTTTTTATTAGCTTAATTATTTCCAAAACATAATTTGAAGAAATACTAAATAAAAAGAAATAAAAATTGTAAGAATAACAGTTTTTATTTCTCAATAAAAATAATTTTGTGGAAGAGAAAAGTATTAAGCGTTTAGATATTAGTCACTTGATTATCTCTTAAGATTACCAAATTGACTATAAAATTTTAAATTGCCGTATCAATAATTTAATTTTGAAAAATGGCAAAGCAGGAAATAAAGTTGCGTTATTGCATGCGACACGAGAATGTGACCATTTAAGGTCGAGACCACCACCTCTCCATTCATTGTTAAGTTAGGTTTACTTTCGATGATGACGCTTACGCGCGTTCGGTCATTTAGATTTCACTTAAAAGATGTTGCCATCGCACCAGGAAATTGCGTCCTTTCATCTTTATGTGCGGTATATCATGCTTTATTACACAATCGACAGAAGATCATAATCATGATACCGCGTATCTCTATAATATGTGCCATTTATTTTAATTACATGATATATTTATCTACTGTCCACTTGACAAGTTTTAATATTTCGTTATTTATATTACCGCAGAAGGAATTATCTGCTTTATAGAATGCACGGTGATATTTTATTATATCAATAGTAAGAAGAAAAAGATAGGTACAAAAAGATTTCAATAATTACAAAAGCTACTTTTTTTTACTGGATTCTGAATGATTAATGTAAAAATAATAGTTTAAACTTGTACATTAATTAAAATCTTATTTGAAAGAATAGATTTGAAATATAAATTAGAAATAAATATTTCAAATATATTACTCGTTTAAGATTTTAAAACGATTAACGATTAAACACTTATTTATTTTTTTCTAATATGGATTAAAATATTTGTAAAGTATTTCGACCAATTTTTATTTATTGTATTTATTTTTTTCTCATGTTTTTAGATCCGGTTTTATTATTTTTATAAATTGGTTTTGAAAAAATAAGAATTATTTTTAAAATAATAGAATATTTGTTTTTTGTCACTTTACTAATTATTTACTTTATTCCATGTAACATTTAAAATAATATTTGAAATTATACATACAAATTGTTTGAAAATTCTTCAAATATTATTTCAAGTAAAAGTTTTCAGTATTTTGCTTAAAATATTTTAATTAATAATTTTCATATTAAATAAATAATTCCAATTTGTACTTTATATTTATACTTATTATTTTTACGCAAAATAAATTTTCGAGTAATATTTTTAAATACATAACCATAAATATAAATTTAAATAGATTAATATTTATATATATATATATATATATGTATACACACAATAAAATAATTATAAATGTATGCAAATGTTTACCGCTGATCAATCTCTATAAAAGTTTATATGAAGAATAAAAGACATTGCTATTTTTACTGATAACCAAGGATATATACATATACTATAGTTTTTAATATCAAACGTTTTAAAATAGACAAAAAGTGGACAGGTAACGTGATTACTTGTCCTTTAAACTAATAAGTCACTAAGTTTATTGTTCAGTTTAAATGAACAGATCTTCTTTCATAAATTCTTTTGTAATATTTTTTCTGCAAACATTATTATGACAGAGCATATGTATGATGACATTAATCACATTAACGGTGTACAACACAATTTTTTACACGGGTCACGAAGGGGCAGCTGCTGTCACTTTCTATCAGCTCAGATATATCTCTAGAATTAATAAGGTCGCATGAATTATATTCCCCTAACCGACCTCTAAATGATTATCTCCGACCCACGTTCTCGCGCAATTAACAGCAACGGTGATGCGCGCTCTTGGCAATAACCGTGAGCGAAATTACAACGACGTGACTCTTAAAAGTGACGGTGAAATCCTGTTATTTGTAGCCGACGTAACTTGCGTACGACTTTTCACAACTCGTAATCGCGAAATGTGCGCGCGAATAAGATTTGAAGAGGAGAAAAGAAACGCGCATACCTCGTAACTCTTTGCGTAGCACTTCCTAAAACTGAGCCTTCCTCCTTCAAACTTGGATAAATCTGTAACAGAAGTAAACATGACTGTTATATTCGCTGTTCTACATCTCCGCATAAAAGTTTAGATGGAGAATAAAGACATTGCTATTTTTACATTGATAAGTGAAGATATGTATATACATATACAGTCGCATAATAATATATATAATAAAACATCGTGGAGAAAGTAAAAATATATAAAAAGTATATTTATTAAAAATATAATTTTTATATACAAGAAAAAGAAAAAGTAAAATAATTTGAGAAATTCTTGAAATCCGAATGAATTAACGTCTAAAAAGAGATTAAACGCATTATATACAATTTAGATTTTTGTGAAAAATTAGAAAGATACTTTCTTCACATTGTTCCAATTATCTGAACGAGTGATGAACATTTTATTCAAAATACTGCATAGCAATATTATTTTTACTTAAGTATTGAATATTGTTAAATATACTTATTTCAAAACACATTATGTTTCAATAACAACATAATGGTATAACATGAAATAATTACGCGAAATTCAGATTACACAAGGTTATTCGTTTCGTCGATAGCTTAAAGGTAGCGTCGTCGAGGATTAATAAGTTATTAACAACATAATTACTTCGACGGGCCCTTATGTCGGGAGAATGCGAGAGCAATTCTCTAGGCAGACGTTGAGACGCGAGGTGGATGGATGAAGGATCGATCGCATAGAGAGCCGATTAAGCTAATTCGCATTACTTGGCTCATCGGCTCGTTTACTCGGCCGAAAACCATAGATGCAAGAGTTTGCGCCCCATTGATTTGCGATCGCACTAATTCATTTTTTTTTCACTCGCGGGACACATTAATCATCCGTAAAACGTTTAATGAATAAAATACCTACGTTGATTTTTCCTTTTAATTTAATTTGTTCAATTTGTTATATAACCTTATAATTCTTTGGGAACAAATGCGATTTATTGCTTGCAAATATATTGGATTATCATGTTTAAGAGAAAAATTAAAATTTTTTCCCGAGTTTTTCGCGTAGAAGAAAATTAATTAAAAGACGGCATTTTTCGTTAAAATACTGTAAAAAATTTACTTAGAATGAAATGAAACCTCTTGAAGAAATTTTTAACAAGCGTAGGTATTTCAACGATGCACGCATTATAACTTAAAAATTTCAATCTAAATTGAAGATAATTAGTATTCAATTAACGTTCTCTCTGTATACAATTAGTACCAGTTTGCTATAGAATTTTCTACTCTTATTAGTTTCTCGCTAGAATTAAGAGTTGTTAATCAAATTAGAAGCATATTCGTTAATATATAAAATAGGATATATTTAGATTTTAGATAAAGAGTATATACCTGTATATATATATGCAAGATCTGAGAGTACTTTCTAAAAAAAGTATCAATTAAATTATTTCTAAATCGAACATTATCTGAATTATCGTTATCTTCCAATTTATCGAAATAATCAGAGAAGAAACGATCAATAAACGGAAACGCTGCTTGGTCCCTGACACTCTTGTTGAAGAATTGCACAATCGACGAACATCCTGTGCGAATCGCGTTGCATAATGCTCTTTGTATCCTCGCGGGACGCGAAAACACGATGGCGTGCAAAAGGTGCGAGTAAGCACTAGCGAACTCGATTCCGCTCTGTCGTCTTTACGATCGACCTTCGGCTACGAGATATCCCAGGTGACATGACGTGTCGGATGTTCTCAGCACATTGAACAATTATATGTACGAATCAATAATATGCACGCGTATCTAAATGCATACACGAGATCCGTTTATCTCTACTACATATATAGGGTGTGTTTCTCCATCTGGCATTGCGAGCATATTTATAGAATTTTCTTACTTATGTCCTCAATTATACATAGGGTTCAATGGGAAATTACTGAAACTAATCAGCTGTCATTTTTTTAATGCATGCAGTTGTTGAGAAAACAAAAATTATGTTGAAAAGAGGAGTCTGCAGTTTTTAATGGATATAAATAAAATGCTTGTATACCAGTTTATTTTATTGAAAAAAAGTAATGAAAAAAGTGCTCTAATAATAATTTGAAGTATATAATATTTAAAAAATAAAGCATCAGAAGAATTTATCTCACTCTTTAGTAGTAAAATGATTGCTTTTTTTAGCATTGGACTACAAGAGAAGTAGGATAAATTATTCCAATGCATAGATGGAATAATGCTATTTCAAACGCTCCATTCGTTCGATTTGGCTACATCAAGAAAAGAAAAAAACTGAACAAAGCATCGGTCGAAATCGGTGCGCCATACGAAGGTCGACCGTTTCACGCCACAATGGTTTCGACAATTTGAACCACCAGACGATCGAATGCTATTTCTCGCCAATTTTATTCACATTCGAGAATTACGAATAGATATCATTTCTTTTTTTTTATCTACACATCTTATGGACTAACTCCATAAATTAAATCTAAAACGTCGATTCGCGATAAATATTTCATCGGAACTTTGTATAATTTCCCTCCCGATGCAATCGCATAATTTAAATTTTGTTGCGCACATCCCCTACAAGTTATCGAGCCCTTGAAACTCGGCAAATTCGAACAAGTTAAAACTCGGTCCATAATAGGCAAGGGCCGATATGCGATACAACTTCAGCGTAATACAGATACGTTGTAGCTGACGCGGCAAATAATAGGGCGTTAACGAGATTAGCGGGATGAGAAGAGGGTCCCTTCTCTCTCTCTCTCACTCGCATCGATCTCACGCGCACGACGAGACACGGTGTGATGTTACCTTCCGTATATGTATATATATATGCATGTATATCCGGCTGTGCTGTGCGGTATGAACCAACCCTTTGGAAATGGTACACGTGTCGCGCACGCGGAACGTTCCTCCGGGCGCGGTTTACATTGCAAATTCGTTGGGAAACTTCTCGCGCGCGACACGTTGCTTCTCGCTCTCTCTCTCGCTCTCAAGCGAGTGTACAAAAGTTATTTTACCGATTAAATTACGTCCCGAAACTCGCTATCACTGTCCGGTAGCATTGTTTCAGCAATGTTGCTCGCGAAACACATTCGGCGAGTCCTTCGGGACTCCTATCGTGAGACTGCTACTTGCAAAAGTATGCATCGATGATATATCGCGGATATCTGTTTGCAAGGAAACATAGATTGGAGAACTCGAGAGAGGTATATATTGGAAAATAGTAGACTCACTATTCTCTGTACCACTTCTACGCAGAACATTTTTCTTAGGCTCTGAAAATTATGGGACAATATGATATTGGAAGAATTTTATATTAGAGTTTCTCTGATTAATATTTGCCATAATAAAAATTTTAATATCTACCGCAATAAGATATAAAATATGTTTAATTTGATTAATTAATTGATTAAAGAAACTCTAAAAAAAATGATAAAAAATATGAAAGTCTAAAAGAATAAAAATAAAATTCTTTAAAAATTTTTCCAATAGCACGATTACCATATGCCACATAATTGCTCATAAATATTTTTCGCGAACTAAATTTCCGATATAAATATTCCTTAAGTTGTGTGGAGATGAGAATTTGATGAGAACTTTTGCGTAATTTCGACGAGAAGAACTGAATTTCGCACAAATATGCGAAAAAGGTGCAAATGTCCCCAGTGAAGTAAAACAAGTTCCATATGTTCCATCCTTGAGATTTACAGTTTGCAAAAGTATTTTACATATACCAGCTGCGAATGTTAATGCGATAAGAAGTTGAGACGCAACATGAAATCCGCGCAAATTGCGCGCGACACCTGTTATTATCAAAGTTTTACATACCTCCGTGACAGTAGGCAATTTTCTGGGTTCCTGCACAAATATCTAATGTAACTTTCACTATCTATTAATAATACAGTAGTGTAGGTCGATCGGCCAACGTCTACCTCCGTGAAGCTGCATCAGTGAAGCGATTGTTTAGCAAGACTTTACTTAATTAAATGTGAATTTTTTCAAGTTCAATTATGCAATCAACAAATTGGTTGGATAATAATACGTAATAATACAAGATTTTTTTTAAAGAGATGTAGCCAAAAACGTGTATGTTTATGTTATATAATTACTTTATTGCGTGCGTAATGTAAATTATCTGTTATCGATCACTAAAATCGAAAACTTTTAAGACACCTAATTTAAAAAAAGTAGCACATTTCTTTACATCAACTTTCAACTTATTGTATTGTAAATTTTATAATTTCTTCATTTCGATTTTTTTAGAATCAGTACCGCAAATATTAATACTTTTTTATCGAAATTTATATATTATAAAAACAGATTTACTTTATCTGATTTATCTTAAAAAATGTATCATTAACTTTTAATTACGCAATATTCCGCAGGAGGTTATAAAAATCTCATTAAATTTGATGTACAAGAGTTTTATGCTGTCGGATTTTAATCAACTTGAAATATCGCTGAAAGACATAACGTGCATTTCCGGAAAGAGCTCTGGTCTAACAATTATTTCCGTTGACATTAATCCACTGATACGTAAATATCGCTTGCCTTATTAGCATGAAAAGGCATCTGTGTCACTAATGATATCGCCATAAAGACGACGGTTCTATGTTGTATTATGCGTATGTTGTGCTTTACGTAATCTTTATTCCTCCGTTAGATCGGTACTAGGTACCCCGATGCTTCAATCACGAGTGGCAGCGAACGTATCACGTGAACGTAATTGTGTTCATACACGAGCTCTCTCGCACATATGGTGTACGTATACACGTATAATTCTGGTACAAGCGTGCGTCACACTAAGGATATTATATTTTCCATTTCGACGAGCTCATGCATAACAGTGAGATTTATAACGTTTCATTAACAATTCAAACCAGGTTGCGGAGATTTCTTTGACTCGACGTATTCGTCAAATCTAACGCAAATTTATTTGCAACAACAACAAATATCAAGAGAAATTGATATGAGAAATTAAAATTGTGAATATTATTCTTATTTATACAACGTGAATTTTGTGAATTAATTATTTAAAAACATTCGATTGTCCAAAATCTAGACTGCTAATATTCTATGGATATATAAAAGAACTGTCTTTCAAAAATGTAGGGCAGTTCAAATTTTCTGAGAAAATGATCTCTGTAAAATATTAGGTATGAAAAATATTAAATAAAGATTATTAAAAAAATATATTTATATATAATATTAAATAATCAGAATCGGGATTAATAATTTCAATTTTTAAAATTCAACTTCTTTTCGTTAATTAAACTTTTCCCCTTGTTTCAGCATTTTCACCATTCTCTGAATATATGTACATGTATATAAATCAGTAAAAAATATTTTTTAAGCTTCATGCCCGTGAGATAGAAATACCGAGCACGATAAGGTGACAAGAACGAGAATTAAGATTAGACCGATTCCGCCATCCTGGAATAGTCAACAATCGTATTTTCACAGTAATCTTAACTCGCCTTCGACAAAGATAACAGAGATTTAGAAGCAATCGAAACGACGCCTTATTGCGATATTATTACGACTGCGACTGTTTGGATGAATCGATATTATTACCACTTTCAGATAAATCGATGCTATTCAAGTTTGTACTTTTTACATCTACAGTTGCATAGCAAAGGGCGTAAAATTCATTTTCGCGTTATATCGCGTTTTTCGATTTATAGGTCCCTGTTAAGATTCGTGTACACGGCGCAGGAACAACACGATTGTGCAAACACAGATATTATATCAGTTGGGGATTTTAGCGTGAGGTATGGCGTAGGTATACACACGACGCGAGTTTGAAATGCCGCGGAATGCAGCACGCGACGAGGAGTACAGGATGAATAATATGCGCGACCCACGTCGCTATATACGAGAGAACAATTTAATCGAGTCTAAAAATACTTGGATGATCCGCGATTTGACTCTGGTGGTGCAAACAAAGCAATTGTTTGTTAATCGACGGTGGCGTGCGTGACGGAACCGTGTGGGCGAAGGTAAAAAAGGGTCGTGTGCGTGTTAGAAAGAGGAATATATTAGTGAAAGTATAAGCATTGCAATCGCGCAATTATTAAATGCACTCTGATACAACATATCGCACACGCATGTCAATTATATTTATTAATAGGCAAATACGGCGAATGAAAATTGATTCTTCTTTCAATTGATCAATATTGAACGTCAATGTTTTTCTTGGTACGATATAATTTTATTAAATAAATCTCAATTCGAGATTGTATTTTTAGTAAATCCATTTCTGCTCTTCCTGAAGAAGCGTAGATGAGAAAATAATCGGGACAAAGTCGCTTAGTTATTAACAATTATTTCTTATGGAAAAATAAAAAAATCATATTGTAGGAATATTTGCGCAGAAAGAGGACAAGAGTAGTCTCAGTAGTATAATACTTGCATTTACATTACAAGCGTTTTTCCCGTTCTCATTTTGCGGCGAAGGCCGTGGTAATTTTCTAGTGAATCATTTTTCCGATATTAGAATAAAGTGAAAATGACAAGAAGTTGGGATCTAGCGACGACCTTGTGATTTTTCTTCCTGTACCATTTTCTTACACAAGAAATCCTTGACACCGCGACACGTTTTCTCGTTTGACGCCAAACTTATCGCACTGTATCTAATTGACTGTTCGCTATTCGCGACTTATTTGTGTCCCCCTCTCTTTTTCTCTCGAATATACGACCGATCGATGGTCATCTGTGCCATATAGAACCAATCGCTTTTTAACTCGTGGAATATATTACTGTTTGCCCTTGAATGGGAACCAAAACATCGTTCAAGTGAATATATTAGAATGGAGAAGCTATATATAGAAATTGCGATTTAAAACGCCTAAAATTTAGATAAATTTTCAATAACATGAATTATTATTCAAAACAGAATATTAAGTTTATTATGAAACTTTCGTCTTTTGGATGTTGCGTGAAAAATAACCATCGAATCGAGCATTTTCCTAAGGAAGTTATGTGCATGAAATTTCTTTGTGTAATTTAACGTATCTATGCCCTGTTAGGTAAAAGCAGGGAAATCAGTATTATTACAGCAGTGTGTAGTAGTTGCATCCGCATATCTGAGATTCCAAATTAATCTGACACGCACGACCGGTACGCATTCGTAGATTCATGCAATCCGTGCATACGTTGTGAGCGCGTGCATGCGTTATATAATAACGAGGACACACACATCTCCGCGTATCCGTTTCAAGTGCACGTGAAAACCAGCGTTCTTCGGGCTGCGAGTTCTTTTTATGCTTAAAAACCCGGCCTCTCATCGCCTTGTGTACAGAGAGACGACTGACGAGCGTATAATGATCGCGCGAAATTATATGGCAAACAGATGTTTCTCGTAACGCGCCGTAAATGCGACTGTCATTACATAATTATATACAAATCGCCGCGAAATATTTTTACAAAATCGCGTATTAACCAATTTTACACTTAGAAGATCCATTTCTCACTGATAATATTCATACTTTTATCAAATTTTATTAAAAAATTATTTATGAAAAATATCTATATGTATATACTTTAATCAAATTTTATTAAAGGATTATTGATGAAAAATATATGTATAAACATTATATAGGAAACGCGTATATGTTTTAGACACAAAATCTCCGCGAAATGAAAAGAAAATGGATGATTCAAGTTGCAAGAAAAAAGTACGACCATCAAGTTTATCGCCGATATTTACATAGATAGGACGTTTACACGTTTAGGAAATTGTTAGAGAATCACTCGCGCGTTGTGAGCCATAAACACGCGGTCAATCGCCGGCAAATACATGCTTCAGCAAGAAGTAAAACGACACGTTTCCGTCGTACATACCCGATGGGCGCATCGTAAGAAAACCCGATCCAACGGGGACTTGGAGTCCTGGGCCTTGGAGGTCCTCTCTTTGCACCATGCTTGTCCCATATTTCTTTTTTTTCTTTTTTTTTTTGTTTTAACTATTTCACCAATCCTTTTCTAGTCAAGTCGCTCGTGCGGCGACCAGTTGGTTCCTCCTTTACCGATAAGGCTCAACAATGTAGGCCATCTTCAAACCTGTTCTTCGTGACCTGCCGCAACCGGCAGGTGTCCTCTACGATTGCCTCTCGTTCGGATCCTTCGAATGTAAAAGAGAGATCGACCCGGGACCCACGAGGCCCGGCACTGATTGTGAGTGGCAAAAAGAAAATGCTGACACGTAAGCGTCGTCTTTCCGATGAGTGATCTCTTCTCGCTGCTCTGTAAGGCAAGGAAATTATTCCGTTGACATTTTGATCCTCGCTCGTTTCATAACATAGTGACATTAATGCTCATTGTGCGCACATTTAAACCTTCTTACTATTAGTTCTCGTTTCAGAATTTAAATTGAAAGACAATTGTGAGAAATAGCTTTTTTGCATACTTTTGAGAAAACATAACATAATTATATAATTGTTTTTTTTTTAAGTGCAATACAAATCGTGTACATTTAGAGTCGCAGTTATGTTAATTTGATTCGATATTTCTATATAAAATTGATAATATTGAATAATTTATTTTTATGAAAGTTTATTCATTATATTATTTTTTTGTAGAGATATATGCATATTTGGATTATTAATCTAGAAAGGAAAGTTTATATTCCACACGAATAAATGTTTTTATATAAATATACATATATTTTTTTAAATAAAGTCTTACATAAAATTGATTATCTGTTATACGATGATAAATGAATATTTAATTTAAATATTTATAATTGCATTATAAATATTTAAGAGTGTTTAAAACAAATTACATCCATAAATAAACTTATTTTTTTAATTTGAAAGAATTAAAATTGATGAAATGAATTAAATTGTATGCAACTTTTTGTGATTAAATAAATGATATCTACATATTGTTTAATCAAACTGTTGATTCTTCAAAAATATCGAATCAAAAATATGAATCTGTGATGGACGGGACAATCGCGTTGTCTTGCTCTTTCCATGAATGGACGAGTCGCGTATATCAGGTTGGCATTGAAGAATTATACACGGTCACAGGAACCGCCTTCTTACGATGCGTCATGTGCGCTTAAAACTCGCTTACGCGCGCGTTCGCCTTCGAACATTTCGCGCGTGAGTAGGCGCATTAAGAACCCACACAAAAATCACGAAAAAAAAACTTCGTTACACTTCCTAAACATCAGTCAATGGCGCGCGAAGTACCTGCATCTGTTCAAAACAATCATTAAAAACACGAGATCATTGACAAACTCGATGGTACCCGCTCTACAATCACTTAACTTCCCGAAAAAACTCAAGTAAAAAAATATCTAGACATAATACCTGAAAAATGAATACATTTTTAGAGGCATCTTCGTGCCTCTTTAAAAAAAACCATTCGTGGTCTCTTGTATACAAGTTTTACGAGCGACAACGTACCTCTTCTTTTCGAAAGCAAGCTTCCGTGATTATTGTAAAACACACGTCTCTAGTCGAGGAACTAATCTCGCGTCGTCGATGACGGATCACCTAACACGATCGATACGTTAATACTGACGGAACACACTCGCGGAGACACGGCGAACGGGCGCGGCTGGAGAACAACTGGCTGGTGCCCTCGCGTTGGTACCGATCGGTCGACACTGAGTTAGCACAGACCGAGCACAACTCTGGAGCACACACGTCGGTGCCCCGAAGCAGCACCGAGGCGCCACGGCCTCGGCTTTCAAACCGCAGCCTCCGCTCTTGAGATGGGCCTCTCTTCCACCTTCTTCTGCCTCCTCCGCACCTTTCCTTCATCCTTGGAGTTCTTCGTAGTGAGAACTCGGTCTCTTCCTCCTTCTCTTTCTCTCTCTTGCTCTCTGCGAGTATATAGTTATCTACCTTTACCAGAAGAATTTCTGCCCTCCTCTTCTCACGGGTACTGTTTCCTCGTACTCAGATATATGCACTCGGGATTCCACAGCTTTCTTTTTCTTCCTCTTGTCTCTCGCGATACTCTCTCGACAATCGGTGCTTCTTTCTCCGTCGTCTCACTTCGGGATACTCTTGTTTCCCTTTCCGTTCCGTTCGCGTTTCTGCGTTTTTAGGAGCATCGCGAGATATGTGCATTCGCGAGAAACTTTACACTCGATGTATTCAGAATTATCCGCTTTTACTGTATGTAATTTTATATACAGATGCGTGATAATCAATCGTATAAATTATTCGGGAATTCGAGAATCTATTGCATATTATACGATAGACTTTTTTAATCAATAGAAATTATGAAAGTAAGGAAGTGCTTCAGATTTATAAAAGATGAAGAAATTTTATCAATGAATGAAAAATTATTGAGAAATTATTAAATATATTTTTTGTGCATTTTGACGCAGAAATTACGTATCTACGTTCATACGTGACTGCTTGCTTACTTGCTTGCATAAGTTGTTGCATTTATGGTTGCATTTGTACAGGTGCTTTGGATTATACATGCGTGTATGTGTTTAAATTACTAAATTTCCATAAAAGTGTGTTATTTAATAACGAGAAAATTTGAAACAAAACTTTTTTGCAACATAAAATATATAAAGATCAAGTTATTATATTATATTCCTAAACTACTTTTATTAGTAAATTACTTGTACAATAGAAAGCGCTATTAATACAGGCATTTTTACTATACGATATATGTATAAAAGTTACAAAGATAATATATATTTTATCTACATATATATCATATTTAAATTTCTCAGCCAGATATCATTATCATAATGTAAAAATAAAAGATCTTAAATTTTTAAATATTCGTCATGCATTTGCTATGCAAGTCAATAAATTTTAGAAAGTCAAAGATACCAAGTAAAAGCTGTTCCCTCCTTTTGGGTGATTAACGCGACATTAACCGACAACCATTAGTGCATAATAAATCTACCAACCAGAGATATGTAAAGCCATTTAATCATCGGTGCAATCGTCCATTTTCCGGTACCATTAAGAAGGCAAACTGCTCTCTCATTCTCGAAAATTGAGGACCTCATTTACTCATTCGTAATTTTCTTCAAGTTATAAAAGTGTCCGTGCACCCTAAAAAAGCTCAGTCCTTTAAAATTCGTCGCACTGTGCGTCTCGTAATTGAAGAGACAGTGTTTCGCTCAAGCTTGTTCGCAACAAATCGACAATGATGAATTATTTATTGGCAATGTTACTTCTGTCCGTGGCTTTCTTCCCGCGTTCAAACGGCGCAGATGAGACTCGTTTCCAAACAGGGAGCAAAGTTGAGCATCAGGAAGGGACCCGGACGATCACGAAACGGCATCAACCGGTCTGCATAATGCCCGAAAAGGACGTACCGTTGTGTCCCACACCGTCAAAGCTTCAAACTGAATACGAACATCGGGACACGGAGGGGTTTGTTGATGAGGGCGAGCCGAGTCAAACGAAACCAATTAAATCGAGCATAAGCGAAACCTCGAAAGGGGACGATGAGCAACGGGGGATCGTTAGCGGTGTCGAGATATTGTCTTCCGACGTCGTCGGCACGTTGCTCGAATTCTCGGATTTGGTGATCGACGACGAATTATTGGCGGACCCGGGCAGAACGTTGAAATTGCGCTTGAAAACACCGGAGTTGGACGATGCGCGGCAAGACAGATCCGCTAGACTAGACGACCACTTGACCGGGTCGATTCCCGAACGTGCAAATACGGAACAGGAGATACGCGTCACCAGAGTCTTGGATTCGCCGGTCACCGCCACTCTGGTGGCGCGAGGGTGCTTGCCGGACATCGGGCTGCCTCTGTGCGCGGACTATCAAGCGAATCTTACGTCAGAGATCGTTAAGAAGACGCTTGAAGAAGATAAGTTCATTCGTAGCGAGCCGCAGAAGACACAAGAACCGACGGAAAATTCTACCTTCTTCATGAAATTGAGTCCAGTCGTCGCTGAACATATTTCATCTCGAGCGAATAACGAACCCGTGCCTGATAAGGCTCGCGTATCTGAGTTTAAACTAGGTCCCTTAATTATCGAATCGACAGCCGCCTCTGATCCGTTGTGCAAGTTCGATACTTTGAGAACAATTTCGGAAAAGTGGGAATTTGTCAGTACAATAACTAATCGGAACGATATTCTTCGAAAGCTCTGTTCTTATTGTCGAAAAGATCTAATTTGTGTGAGAAATATAATCTGTTGGAATAGTCTTAAAGGAAACAAAACATCTGATCTAAGAGAGCTAAAAATAAAGAGTTCGCATAATTAAAAACAAAAAAATATCTAAAGCGTTCTGTAACATAAAAGCTTGCGGTATCTTCTCGCATTATCTCCATATGAAACTAAAATAAACGATAAAAATTAATTCAGAATCATTGATTTCAATATTGATCGAGAAATCAACACGACCACGCCCGCATTGGAAAAATGGATTAGGTAATTATCTATTAAATTTTGGAGAATGATGTGACACTATTTTAAACGAAAGTATTTGAAAAGAGGATATTAGTTCGAAACACAGAAGATTGCATTTTCAATAAATAAAAAAAAATTATATCAAGAAAGGAAAGAAGGAAGAAGACCGAATACACAAATGCGAATATGTCGGACAATATCTCTATTATTCCACTGAATATCTAATCAAACATGATTTTACACTCCTTATTACTCATATAATCAATATTCTTTATAGTATATGTAAAATTATGTTAATAATTTAATAATTATATTAATAATTTTATTTAAATAACACAAAATTATTAACGTATAATTTTTTTTATTTAACAGATATTTTATTGCTCTATATCTTTATTACTTCGCAAAGTTGTAGCTACACGGATGATAAACGAACATTAGATAGCAAAAGGTCGAGTTCAGTTTTAATTGGAACCGCTTTTGCAATTTGCTAGTTTATTTACATTATGTATCTTTCTCAGATGAGAAGTTAGAATTTAATGGCATGAAAATACATTAATCGTAAACGTAGCAACACATAGCGCTGAAATTCTTCTCAAGTCAGAGGTTCAGAAGTTCGATTCAGCTAGTTATCAATATCTTTCGTACAGCCATTTATTACCAATGAAAATGTCTGATGTATATTTTTAAAAATCTAACTTTTATTGTTAGAGTTATATGTAAAACGATAAAAGTATGCAAAATTATCTTAATAGGTATACATATATCGTTATACGTGAGCATTTTTTAAAGCAATGTACACTGATTGCGAAATATCTTTTTCTAATTTAACTGATTACAATATATCGGCTTCGCAATAAAGACATCTAAGTGTAAATGACAGAATATACATTTAAATTTGAACATTTGAATATTTTATTTTTTGCCAAATCTCATTCGTACTTCTTTTCATATTATAATATCTGATTAATCTACCTTAGATATATAAAATTAAATTAATTCCGAAAAAGATTAATAATAATTTTTTTGTTCAAAATTTCTGCGAGCGATCCTTTATGTAACAGCGGTTTTCTTAACACGCGTGCGTCATTTATAATGTACACTCGCGCTCGTAAAACTCGAAGGTGCACCGTAAGGTACCCCACGTTTCATTTATTACATATCGTTGGTCATTCTCGCCTTCATCGACTTGTGAACGTAGATGGCCTTAAATTTTTCAGGACTATTCGATGTATGTTCCCGCCGGATCCTTGTGACGCTCTCCACAGATCATACTTTGATACTCGATTTTCCTCTCCCAATCTTTCTCGTCACTCGGGCTTTTTGATGCTTCATCATGTTCTGATATTGCTTTGAGATATGTGGTGTGCACTTATTCTTTTATAGCCATAATTTTTGGTAAGATTATATATATGTTTAATACAATTGAAAAAAAGACATTATATTCTTAGAACACAAAGATGGTTTTGCGTTTAGATATATATAAAATTTTATATTTTATTAATTCAATATACAAAGAAATGAAATAATGATGTTGAGATATATTTTCAAATTTTTCATATTTTCCTCATTTTTTAATGTATTAACAATCTAGAGCCAATTCTAAAATCTAGAATCTTGGGTAAACTTTATTTATGCTAAAAATAATTATATAATTTCTCGCTATTATAAAATTTCATATAATATTAATAATTGATATAATATTCATATAATATTGATATTTTTTTAAATTTTTATTAACATTATTTATATTGAAGTTACATATGACGATTAAAAATTATATCAAAGTTACATATGGCAATTAAAAAGTAATGCCATATCAACAATCTTATTATAGATATCGTTTATGATAATATTATTTATTATTTCTTACAATCTATCACCAAAAATAACTGAATATTACTTATTGCTAAAACAGTTTTTATTTCGTTTCATTACGCAGTCTTGCATTAGATTGAAAGTTCAATCATTCTTTTAATTAACTTTAACAACAGTCAATTTCCATAAAATATATGCGCTTATTTAATTCTTACGTATCAGAAAGCGAGTTTATACTTCATGCATTTTTTTATTCATCACATTAATAGATCGTCTGACCTGTTTAAAGATCAGAATTGTACGAACATAATAAGTCTTCTTTTTGTTTAATGTTATCAGGATTAGATATGACTAATGATTAATGTATGCTGTAAGTCAATCGACTCGTTCAAGTGTACGTCACAAATTATACAGATTTCGATACTGTTCGAGGTTGTGTAGAAAAATTATACATTGGAAATTCATGCGTTGTGTGTGAAACGAAGGGATAAAGTCGCTGAATCTCACTGTCCTTGTTGGAAATATCTGCGTCCGTGCACGGGGGCAAAATAAATGGCAGTCTGCAAAATGGACAAGCAAAAATCTATTTAAAATAATGTATTTTCTATATTTTTTATTAATGTGATTCATTAAGTTAATATCGCTTCTCGTGTTATCATGAAAAGATGCATGAAACATATACAAAGTCATTTACAGACTGTCATTACTTATTCGCTATATTTTTAATATCTTACTATATCTTACCTTGGCGGTACGCATCTTTGTATTTCATATATTATAGTTTTTGTGCGCTTTTCCGTTTCTGAAACACGCATCGATGAATGCGGGTGGAATATTTTATTACTCTCCGATTGTTCGTGCCATTTCTTTCTCGTCACTGAATGTTCCAGATTTTGAAGATTTTCTGAAGTTTTCATCTTATGATGACTGAAATTAAAATTTCACATTGGATTTATAAATGTTATTCATTTATTTTAAAAACCGTGCAAAAGAAATTTCGCTTGATCATAAATTCTGCTATAGATCTGTGATAAAATTGTCCTTAAGGCAAACGGAATGAGAGGCTTATTTCTCAGAAATTACTAATTTTAGATATTATAATATTCGATAACAATATTAAAATCCTGAAATTTTCGGTTATTAACAAAAAAATGTATGCTATAGAATGTTTTATCATGCATTTTGCAAAATTTAATTTAGAAGGATATTTAGGATGTAATAAAGATATTTCTTTGAAAATTTCTCCAGTATTTCTCTTACCTAATGAAATTACACGAATCCAAATTCGGCGGTACATATACACATATGTAAGGTGTACCCACGACTGTATCGTTTATCGAAATATTTCTTTTCATCATACTATTATCTTTTACGATCCTTTCATTGTCTAAATCGGTGACCGGAAACGTATGTCCCATTAGGATAAATAACTTCAAAGTAAAGAGAAATAAAAACGATTCCAACGAAATGTTCCTCATGGCTAGGTGAAAAGTCCTCAGCTGCGTAAATACACGTTGCAATACTGAAAAATTGTATAAAATATTTTACCATGATTTATTACAAATGTTTTATGGAATTTCGCGATATATAAATTGCACGTAGCAACGGGATAAAATCCGTTAATATCAATGGATAAAATCCTATCGTATCACTCTCCAGTTGACCCTAATAAATAATCTGCAATGTGCACATATTTCCAGTTAATGCGTAGCTGTTGTTATCTATATAATTTGTAATCTCTGTTCATTACAAAAGAGATGTTGAAGAGCATCCATGTAAAATCCATCTCGAATATTCGCCCAGGGTGAGATTGTGTGTCGCGTAACTCATCGAGTATAATAAATATCTATTGTATTTTGCGATGAATTATTAATTCCGGCAATTAAACTGCACGTCGACGCATTTTGCCTCGGTTAAAATCAAAGTATACTGAACGACGCTCGTTTATTCGAGTAATGTATAATAACAGCGAAATGTCGGACTAGAAATAGAAATATGTTAACAATCATAACTGTCCGTTATCTTATGCAAAGTAGCACGAGAATCGATTTCGAGGAAATACATGCACGAAAAGCAAAGTAATCCGTTGTCAAGAAATGCGAAAGTCGTACACGGAAAAAGGATTCGTTTCTGCTATATCCTGATTGCTTTATAACGTGCTCTCTTTAATTATGTTCTATCCTTTTTATATTGTACAATCAAAAATTATTATTGCAAACTGGAGGTTAAAAAACAACGCGAAAATTGTAATAATGCAGACCGAATAAATTGTTAAGGACTTGTTCAAGCGCATTCAAGAGGCTGTACATATATCAATACATTTATCACTATCAAATTTATTTTAATATTATCAAATTTATTTTTTAATGTTTTAAAATGATGCAATTTATTCGTATAAATTGCAAGATGGATATAATTAAAAAATTCACATTTTATGCAATTATTTATATCTTTATAAAGTTTAACATTAAATAAGTAAAAAAATGCAAGAAAAACATCTCTCCATAATCTTAAATTTTCCAATTTTTCATAAAATATTTCTTACACTTACAATTTAGTAATATTATAGATGTAAGTTTTATTTTTGAAAAATTGTGTTTTTACCATAAAAGTTTCTTATATAATTACTAATCACAAATTGTTTGACACAAAATCACTTTCTATACGCGTAATAAAAAACAATAATTGTTCGCAATGTTAAAATCCGCCGATTAGCAATTACAATCTATGTTAAAACTGTCCCATGATAAATTTCTGAAAAGTTTCCGAGTTTCGTTTCGCTTGTCAACGCTATGCACGTAATGTCAATAGATATAATGGCTCGTGCTGGAAGCGAAATTGGAATAAGAATCGCGAAAATAAATCTCATATAGAGGGAGAATAGGTTGATGATCGCGGAAATGAAATTAATGACATTGTTACATCGAGTTAGACAGTTATAGATATAGCATAATCATAGAGAGTGAAAGAGCACAATCATTCTATTAACTAATCGATCCGTCTTTTACAGTCCTTGCTTCCTGCATTTGTCTGCCGCCGCGATGAATCCTTCGACCACGATATTCCTGTCGAAACTTTTTATCTACGAAAGTCTATCACGCTAATGTTACAAATTCTCCGTAATCCTTCCCTCGAGAATATTTATAGTTAATTACACATCCACCCGCTCGATTGTTCTTCAATCAGGGGAGGTGTTTTTCGAGGATGATTTTTCCGCGACGACGATACTTTTCGAGGATATTATCCGAACAACGCGAATTATCGAAGAAGGAAGGAAAGCTTGATCTGCGACTCGTCGCTAAAAGAATTGCTGCGACGTAGCGCGACAACGTCATTACGTTATTCCGGCGACACGACGCGACAGGACGCAAATGTGCATCCGCAAAATCAACAACCCCCTGCGTGAACCCTCTTGCTAAGTAAACTGTTGGATAAAACCCAAGCGAATGAATGATGTAGACATGTTTGATCGACGGCGAACGCGTCCGTCGCTCTCGATGTCTCGCTCCGACACTCTTCCTTTAATTTGAGTAATGATCTCATCATCGTCGTGATTTAGTCGAAACGTTGCTTCTGCGTGTATACGCCACGCCGAGGAATTGTCAGCATTTAATCGTACTAACATCTGACGGCAATTCGTCACTCCATATGTATACACAGATACCCGTGCGAGCGCGTGATTCAGCTACGTGTTCGCTTTAGAGAGAGATTTCGCCGTGGAAACACAGGCCGTATATAGAGCTTTCGCGCTTTCCTGACGGATCACGCTACGTCGACTTATATGTATGTACTTGTCACAGTATCACGCCAACAATAACGAAATACCGGGGCTGCGGGTAATTAACGACGTCGCAATCGCATAATGAATAGCCGAAATATATATGTCATTAGAAAAATCGTACAAGCGGTGAAATATTAACGGGTTATTCGTAAGTAATTAACTTATCGAGCTATATGGATTATGTCATATTATGTCTGAATTTCATGTTTGTTCCACATTTAATTTTTTATCGAGCAATATGAGTGATAACCTCTGCAGAAATTTTTGCTTGACAAAAATCAATTATATAAATTTATCACGCGAAGATAAAGAATTTGAAAAAATTTTTAATTTTTATGTATATAAATATATATTATATAGATAAAAAAGCAATATTGAGAAAATGGGTTTTTATATGGATATTACTTTGTGTTCGAAGTACTTATTCAGTTGTCTCAATTAGTTATTTGATATTTTAAAAATTTCTTTTTTTTTTTGTTTCTTAATCTTTAATAAATAATTCTACGTGAGTACAGTACTTTAATCTTTTTGTAAACTTTGACATCCAAACAATGATCTGTTAGACAATGTAGTTACATATATAAGATGGAACTTACACGCGCGTACTCAATGCGATAAAAATGTATAAATAACTACCGACACGAAAATTTAGGAGAACTAGTGATACTAAAGTACATTATATACTGCACAGTACTAATGATAACTGAAGAAGACCCCCTAGTTTTTTACAGGAAGAAGGCGGGTTATCAGTGTGATATACTATTTATAATTTATAAACGCCCACACTTATCATTAAAATATATCGGTAAACTACATCCAAATATTTTACTAATCAATGTCTCCAAAAGTGGAACACTGAACTTGTAGACAAACATTTGAAATGCTGTCTAAAAAATACCTGGAATTTCCCATGAAACCTCGGTTTCTCGTATCTAGGGGCGGACAAATATTGTTCATTTCAGATAGACAAATATTGTCCGTTTTACCAAAAATACTGCAATTTTTGTGTCAAATACAGATGGTAAAAAACGTTTGAGTCCATTCGTTAGCATCCGTTTGTCGTTGCGTCAATTTATTTTATTTCTCATTTATTAGTATCGGTCTTGTTAAAATATTTCTTATCAATTCAAAATAGTGCGTTATTAAACAGAGAGAATTTCCTCTTAGAATTTATCCTGAAAATTATAGTAATCGTGGGATAATATGATATTGAAAGAATTTTTATATAAGAGTTTCTCTGACTAATATTTACCATAATAAAAATATTAATATTTCATAAAATATGTTCGATTAATTTTACTATGTACACGTTAATATTTTTTATCGTGGCAAACATTAATCAGAGAAAAATTGTCATAAAATTCTTTCAATATTATCCCATGATCACCATGATTTTCAGGATAAATTCTAAGAGAGAATTTTCTTCGTGTAGAAAAAAACGAGATACAACAGATTATCTGGAAATATGAAGAACTATGGTTCTTTTACATAGCATTTTGAAAAATAATGACAAATTCGACAAGGACCAAGAACTTACCTTGAATCTTACCGTGAAATCTTCGAATTATTCTTCGAAGGAAGAGACGCTTCTCATCTAACTTCGCGATTAACTTCTAGCGTGCAGAGCTTACAGAACGGTTGTTTCCCTCTCTTTCTCTCTTTAAACGTCTTCTGTAAATCTTCGCAAAGTAATGACGTCTCTCGCGAAGTAAAATTACCCCTTGAACGATGTCTCTCAAATTCTTCTCTCAAATTCGGCTGTTAAATTCGCGACTTTCAGCTTTTTTCGAACGGGCGGGATTTTTTTTTTTTTTGAGATGCGATCGAATATCGTAATAATCGTGGACGACGATGTAAAGAATCGCGAGGAAAGGCGGAAGAAGGGTGTCCCGACGATGGATGTCAGGGAATGCGAAATGCGGACAGAGAAAATGGAGAACGAGAGAGCCGAAGGAGACGACGAGGAGCAACGTAGAGCGTCCGGGTTGACGTCGGTCGTGTTACTATGGCAGGAGGAACTCGCGATATGTGTCTGTCGAAAGAGATCAAAAACAACTAGTTTCAGGTCCCTACCACAAAGTTCTCGCCGCTCCTCTTACCACGACTACGTCACGACCACGAAATCTCGCGTCGAGGAATCGATGTCGCCGAGGGTGAGAGAAGAAGTTGTTCGAATGCAGCGCTTATGCGCGATTTTTCTACAGATATAATGCGTTAGTGGAGGGGAAAGCAGATCGCAATCGCGTATATTTGTGCGGCTGATCGATTAATCGCATTATTTTCACGTTAACGTGCACCAAAAGAGGGACGAACGAACGCGGTAAATTGCCTTCGGTGTTTATGACGTTTGTAAAAAAAAAAAAAAAAAAAAAAATGAGAATGAAACACTACTAAGTGATATTCCCGAACTAATGCAATTTTAAAAGTCGATTTTTTAAATTTTAAAGTCACGATAAAGAAAAAATTGAATTTAACACAATTAATAGAATGTGCAGTAACGTATAATTGCATATATTGATTTCATCAGATTACATATACTTAGTTCAACTATGCCGATATAGCTATTGTGCGTGAACGTAACAAAATCTTTTTAGAATTAAATCGGGTTAAGGATTATTTATCTCTATTTAAAGATAATAAGCGTAATTTTTGATAATCACGCTTAAAATAACAAAAGGTCAGGTCGACCTTTCCCCGTGTCGTAAGAAACTTTTTTTCCGATATACTTAGTGCCATATTACATAAAGAAAAAAAATACATTACACGAAAAATAATTACATAGAAAAAATAAGTTACACGTGTTCTTTCATATCGCATCAATAACCCAAAGGTCAGTCAGAAGTCGATTTAATCTAGAGCGTTGATTTAATCTAGAGGTCAGAATGTTCTCGCGCTATATGCAATGTTAATGATTGATCCATCCTTTAACATCCATAAACAATGAAAATATTGCGATCAAGATCCAACGTGCAGGTAAACTGTATTACATTGTTTTGTAGCTGACGAGAGATAAAGACTATCTTGATTTTTTGTCATAAGATTTTACAAGAAAAACTTACAGGAAAAAACACGTCTATTAGCATTTTTAGACATTTTTGTCATTTTTATTTTATTTTTTAATTATATCATATAAAAAACTATTTAATTTTAATTGAACACTTCAATAAATTGATTTTATATTTCAACAAAGTGTATCGCCACATAAATTTCCCGCATATATATTTTTTTTAAGTTTACAATAAAGTAAAACAACGTTTGCTGATGTAAAAAAATCTATCGGAAAAATTATATAATTTTGCTATTATTTTACTAATCAAATATACGTGTATGTGTTTTAAAAATATGAATATTATTTTTTGAGTATTATAAAAAACACTTATAATAGTATAATGATTTTGTTCTATTATAAACAATGACTAGCATAAACAGGAGTATTAATGGAACAACGCAAGTGTAATTTTTCTTTAATAAATAATCGCGGAAAAATTAGTCGCGTAAAGTCAGAATATAAAATAAAAAATCGGAGCACCCGCACGTCGTCCATTCCTAAATCTAAAGTTTAAAGGAATCACATGAGAGACCAATGTATATATAATCGCGCGAGTCGATTTCACCGCGAGCGCACCGGCAATCAATTGCACGTGGTATAATTATCGTTTTCCCAATAAGTGCAATAATTGATTAAACCCGAAAGGTCTCTCTCTCTCTCTCTCTCTTTCTCCCGATTTGTTGCGCGCGCGCGAATCTCGAGGATGCCACTGAAGGCACCGGGCGAGCGCGATCAGATCGGCAGTTTAACAGAGTAAGTAACGGACAATTGAGCCCCCGGAGCTTTTACTTTGCACGTGATCGTGCATCGGTGCACGTGCACCTAGCACGTGTGCGGCCACGAATGTAAGAGGCTTGGCGCGCGACACACGTGAGAGGCTCGACGCGCTGAGCACGTGTATCGCCGAACGTGTGACACCCACACCGCGATATATACGCGAGATGCGTGCGGGTGTAACGCACAACTTGGTTCGATAATCTCGATAATGGAAAATTAACTATTCACATGACACGCGATTGGCATCATGAGACGCGCTTTCCTCCTTGCGATAGCGTCGACAAGAGACATCAGAAAAATCGATTGTCAATTTCAATTATATACTTTGCCGATACAATTTTGACATCCGCGGAACCGTGATAGCTGTCAGTTTCCAATTTACAATGTATCAGAATTATTAAAAATATATACAGAGAGAGCAAATCAATTTCTACATTTACTAATATTTCTGTCACTTAAATTGTGTAAGAAATTTAATTGTAAATTGTGAAGAACTAAACTAAAACAAGTATTTTGCCAACTTTTTTTATAGCAAAGTTGTTTAAACAGATAATATTTTAAATCTTCCCTGTATTCAAATTAATATAAATATATCATGGGCGTCCATAGGGGAAAGAATCAGTAAAAAATAAGCATTTGCTTTTTTGAATAAATACTGGAATTTATTTGCATATTTAATATAAAAAATAAAAATAACGAATTAAATTTTTAAAAATTAAAAGAAAAAAATAAGAAACAAAAAAAATTTTAATCATGCCCTTCTTCTCTGGAAAAAATCTTATGAACCCATGATCAAAAGTAATAAGTATCAGAAGAGATGGGAAATTAACAAAAATGTCTTACTCAGAATAATACACAATTTGCTAGCACATTTTCTCTAGAATTTATTTTTTATAATAATTTTGTTTTTATCACTAATGTCATTTGCGAATTATGGTTATCTGAACGCGAAGTGCAAAGACATTGTTAAATAACATCAATAATTTTTTTATAATATAGATAAAATAAATATATATACTAAATTTAATAATTTTTATTTCTTTTTTATTATTACTATCTGCAGCAATTTTTCACTATTATTATTGTTATCAGCCTTAGAAATATCTTCGAATCATATTATGCCAAAGTGATCGATAACTTTCTTAAGATTTGTTATCAAATTATACTCAAGTTATAATAACACGAATTCAATAATATTTGTCTTGGCTGGTGTTTTAGAAGGAAATACACGAAACTCAGATAATAGAGCTCTCAGTAACAGAGATTTTTCAAGAAATTTGATTTCTTTTAAAAATTTATAAAAACAATTTTACGAAGAGATTATTAATTCGAAGATTATACTAGATATAAATTAAATTTTTTTAAACTTTTAACTTATTATAAAATGGTATTGTATTAAGTCTTCAATCGTATTTAAGTCTTATTAACAGACTAATTGAAATTTTGAGTTACTAACTTTGTCTAATTTGATTAATCTTACTAAAACAATTTTTATTTTGTACATAGATTTACTTATAGTTATTTATTTTGGTTTTTTCCATTGCTGATAATACAAGACAATTTAATCTTAGCTTCACACATTTTCAGTATTTCTTTATCAAGAAATAATCATTAGTTTTCGACAAGAAAGATCGTTCGGTCAAACATGGTCTATTACCAAAAATTGACTAATCACCAAATTAATCAGTAAATTAAATAAATATGAAATAATCTCTTGTTACAAACCACTTATGTGATTAAAGAGCATCTCGAGATATAATGTTTAAACAAATTGCTTCAAACTAAAAATATGGATAAAATGGGCCATATGAGTTGCAAATGAATCGTTATAACGAGATAAGATTAATAAAGAGAGCCGTATGAAACGATATGAAAGAAAATCAGTGACTCTGGCGATTAATGAGATAGGATTATCTAATGAAAAGAGATTGCGACATGGAAGAAAATCGGTGACTCCGATATTAGAGGAAGTGACAAAAAGCGAAAAACAACGAAGAACAAATAGATTGGTTAATCATAGAGTCATATAGACTTATCAACTTATTATCTAGAATTATAACCGTGTTCTCGAATCATATTCTCTTCTTATTCCTGAATTCTTTTAATTTATTTAATTCTAACGGCTCTTTAATGGCTTTAACTGTAGTTAATCTTTTCTGTTTTATAATAATATAAAAAAATTAATTACATAATTACATGTCTTTATGAATTGAATAAAAATTTTATGAATGTGTAAAAATTTATTTTATATTATAATTTATTATTTGTATTTTTTGTGATTATTCAACAATATTCAAAGATAAAAAATTTATATGTATTCTTTATTTAAGTTAATAATCATGCTAAAATTATAATATCAAGATAATAATCATAATTAAATAATAGAAATCTTACATTTTTAATATAATAAGTATTAAATTAATAGAACAAAGCTATTCTGTCTAAAGAATAGAATCTTTTCATGTGTTGAGATTATTATCGCATTTAACACAAACCGTAACTAATTACCATACGTACGGCAATTTAGTGCATAAATGTATGTATGGTGACCTCTTTATAGGGGCGTGCAAAAGTATGAAAGTAAAATTACTTTATCATTAAATTAATAGTTTATCAAAGAAAAATTAAAATACGTCTAACGTATTTAATCTAACGTAATATTAGTTTCGTTATATTTGATATCTTTGTGTTAATAACAGAAATCTTCAAATAAAACATTTAAATATCAAAATAGAACTCTTGTATCTCTCGCTCTAAGCGGATAAATGACTAAAATAAATATCTATCGCTGTTTATTATTTACTTAGGCAGATAACATATCAAATGATTTAGATGTTCTATGACCCCTATATAGTTTATGAGATCTAATATTAAATTTGATCATCTAATTTTTTATATATATTATATATATATATATATATATATATATATATATATATATATATATATACGTTCGAAGATCATGTTATATGAACCTTACGATCACATCATAAAAATATATAAATATAAATATGTGTAATTAAAAAAAATAAATATAAAAATCCATTTAAACATCCGCTGAAATAGAATAGTTAAATTTCCATTTACGAGCTAAGCAATATACAGTACTTTGAATAGTCTTCATCTCAATCAACTCTCATTGTGTCGTAATATAGTACACGGAGAGAATTTTCTCTTAAAATTTACCCTGAAAATCATGGTAATCGTGCGACTATATAATACTGGAAGAATCTTATAAGAATTTCTCTGATTAATATTTACCACAATAAAAATATTAACATGTACATAGTAAAATTTACTAAAAATTTACTATGTAAATAGTAAAATTTACTATGTACATATTAATATTTTTATTGTGGTAAATATTAATCAGAGAAACTCTTATAAGATTCTTCCAATACCATATTGTCGCACAATTACCGTATGATTTTGAGGGTAAATTCTAAGAGAAAATTCTCTCTGTGTATGCATTTAAAAATTCGCTTTCCTCTTTTACGTGCCGTAATTCGAATCGCGTTACGAATATACCTATATGCGAAGACATGAGTAATTAATACCTTACTCCGCGTTGCATCGCGGCAAATGTTTACGACGGGAAGCCGCGTACAGCGGCTACAATTAATTTGAGTCGAGTTAAGGCACAAAGAGTACATACCTGGCAGCGAACCAAGATGTTATACTGCAAACATGCGCGTACACACGAAGTTATACGGATTTTCATCCAACGAACGAACCGAGTTATACCGTACGGTGGACAACGGCCTCATTTGCCGTAGTTACCTCTTCCTCTCCCGGTTAAACTGCCCCAACAATGCCCAACACCCGACAGTAATAGCGCAATAATGCTGTAGCTAAACTGTACGATATAAAAAGAAACCAAGTCAACAGCTGGCTTACTGTCAAATGGCACCTGCAATGTATTCATGAATGTCTATCGAACTTTATTTCGTCGGTATTTTCGTTGATTCTTTTTTTATGAAAGAAAACACAAGTAAGTTGATCACTTTGTTGCTGTCGATGATATCAAGCTGCTAAGAGACCAAGAAACAATCGTCAATTTTTCAAAAATTCTGTTCTACTTTGTACATCGAAAATTGACAGTTCTGATATTTTTTTCTCTTAAACGAAATAATGATTGCTAATTGATATTAATAATATTTATGCTGCAAAATTTCTGTACTCATGGGTTTCTTTCAAGTAAAATTATATAGTATACAAATGAAATTAGAGAGCCGTTTTTAGATAAAACCAATGAATAAATTTGGACGTATATTATTTATTAAGGCTAGACACGCGCGCGTAAGAGAGAACAGAAAAGTAAATTTAAAAGCGCTTTCTACTGGAAAGAAAATTTCCTTCGGTATTTAGAGAAATTCGACTTTAATAAATTTGCGTCGTCTGCTCGCGTAAATTATACGAGCCCACGCAAGCGAAGCGCGCGGAATTATTCGCCGTTAGTTCGGCGCCGACTTCTACAGGATCGTTCAAACGAAAGCGTGAATTATATGTAAGTTATCCACTTCGGTGAAATACCGGATATTAAACGCGACGTAAATCATAAATATGTAGAGCATGAAATAAATCATAAACATGTGGAGCATAATAAAAAAGACTACTACAAAAAGATGACAGTGATCTTTTATCACTATACAATTGGACACTTATAATTATATCATTACAGAAATTATTTTTAGAGTACTTTTAAATTATCAAAGATGTTGCAGAAAAAGACAATAAGTATGTTTAAATTTCTCTCATTTTTTTATTTAATATAATTTATGTAAAAAGAAAAGAGATGGCACATTAGAAAAATATTACACATTATTTCCAAGGCATAACTAATTTCACGAAATATGATGCATTTTTTATATTTATGTAATAAATTAATTTCTGAACTTAAATAAAATATTTTTAATGATATGCTAATTTTGAGACAACCTATATAATTCAATTCTTGAAACTTTACTGTCTGAACATTTGTTACGAATAGCCAAGTGTCAAACTGATTGTATCAATTGCTGAGTGAAGAGAATCATGCTGAAACAATTGGCTTTTATGTATAGAATCTTATAGAATAAATAAAGAACATAACTTGAATTCTCTTTTCTACACGCGTTTATTAAACTAAAAAAAAATTATGTAAAAAATATTACATATACAAATCATTTACTTAGAACACTTAAATTACAATTGGATTTGAAGAGATATGTGATCGAGAAATATTCATATTATTTAAACAAAATTTTATAAATTCATAATATTATACTCGAATAATTTTCAAATTATTTGTGTATATAATTATTAAGATTAAATCAGATGTTGAGAGGTATTGGTGTTTTAAAATCAGTTATTTTATCTTAATAATTTATCAATGTATTATTAATCAATTAATTGTATTATATTATTTTGTTTTAATAACTAATTAATAACTGCAATTTATATTATAACAATTAATTATAAAGATTGAATGTATGTAGGAAGCTGTAAAATGTTTTTGCAATAATTATTTTATTCCAATTATTTTATTCCAAAATAATTTTATTTTGAAAATAAAATTTTCGATAATTACGATAACAATTACAATAATTTACTAAAATTATAGCGTCTACAGAGTTGATACATAATTGAATTATAAATGAAATATAAATTTAAACATCTTTTTTTCTACAATATTTTTATAAAATTTGAAAGTACTCTATATATAAAATTAATTCGTATATTTTATTTTAATTCATCAATACTAGCAAAAATGATATGTGAGAAATAATTTTACTTCATAATAGAAATGTTATGTCACATAAAAACTTGTAAGAGAATAGATATTTAATGATCGATTGTGAATACACGAGATGCTGCAATATTTTGATTTTTATCGGGTCAAAATTTATAATTAAATCAGATAAATTTGTGAATATTTGATGAAGCAAGTTCGTGACTGTTTCTTTCTCGAGGGCTCGGCGGGAGACGAGACGCCAGCGATTCTCGTCTCGCCTCGTATAGCCGAGTCGTCAGATCGACTTCGTATATCCGCAAGGCTCACCTAGTCATTTGGTGCGAGCACTCGGTCGCGGACGTATTCGAGCTCACTCTGCCTTGTGTTCGGCAAACAGGTTCAGGAGCGATCGAATTGTGAGACCGGCATTTCGATATACGTAACATGATGAAGGACATCCGAGCGCAGGTGAGTCTCAGGAGACTCTGTTTCTTCCTATATTACGTTCGGTACAATGGGAAAGATTCGCATCGTTGTTCGTCATCGAAGTCGACATGTGGATGGTGATGTAATCGATGACGTTTTATAAAAGAATTTTTAGATTCATATCATAAATATATATATATATATATTTTTTTTTTATTTGATTTAGGAGATAACAATAAATCCTTCGGATTATCTCGTGGAATATAATTGATTATTTTAAACACATTTGTAATATTTATGAAGAAATATATGAATAACTTTGCATAATTAAAGCATTCTTAAAATTATATTATACCTATTTTTTTTAATCCTTTTATAATCATGACAATAATAAAATACATATATACGAAACATGTAATTTTTGTGCTATTTGCTACGATGCAACACTCAACAATCGATCAATATTTTTATTATTTTATTATTAAAATTGGATATATATTCCAGTTATTTATATATTGCATATTGTTAGTTTCACATACACACAATAGAAATTAATTAATTAATATTTGTATAGAACTTAAATATCTACATATATTTTCTATTATCTAAATCAGTGTTATATATATATATATATATATATATATATATATATATATATATATATATATGTTACCCATATGTTTACATATCACATACATGCATTTCTTTGATATAAAGCTTATGATACATTCGATATTTACATTTCATAAAATTTAATGATTAAGAACTTGTATTAAAATTATTAATATTAATTATCAATATTAATAAATTCTGAAAAATTAATGTTATGTCGAAAGAGATCACGTGTATTCCTTGGGTTACGACAAACGAGAAATAAGTACCAATTGTTCTGTAATATTTGAGGAGAATCGTACAATTGAAATACTTGGTGATACGAGAAGTCTTTATATACGATTGCATCAACAAACCGAGAAATGAGAATATACACACGAATACATAGCCGTTTAACTAACAGCGTCATCGGAGTTCAAATCACAACTGACATAATCAGCTGGACCTCTAGGTTCAGAGGTCAGCATCCTCCTACTCGAATAATGTCATTTCATCGAAACGTAGTAGCATCGACTTATGTCGGTGATGTAAAATTACTAATAGATACTTCAATTTTTGCATATGTACAGTTGTGTTTCGATGCATCACGCATTAAAATATCAATACACATAATTTAAATTAATATCGTTAACTACAGCTCTTTCTCAGTAATGAAATATATATTTCAACATTTTTATCAATTAAAAATATTATATTTTTTAAGTAATAAGTGCTTTTGAATAATTGAAATATTTTAAAATAAATTTTTTTAAATTTGTTTTTGAATTTTTGCAATTTATAGTTATAATTATTATTTATTTTAACGCCGCAATATGTTTGATTTTTCTTTTTACACACACAAAAATAAAATACAATATTATTATACAAAATATAAACAGATAAAATTATTTTTGCCAAAAATATTGTCAGCTAGAAACCACGATACGTTAAATTGCAATAATTTTAGTATTTTCTAAAAAGAAACATCGTTTTTTTTTTGTTATATGTGTGTAAGAGTAGAAAAAAATATTAAAAACGAACGTTAAAAAAAATAAAATGCATGATAATTGTAGATATGTGAATTATTAATAATTTATACCTATCAGTTTTTATACAAATTATTTTTGCATAATAATGTACAAAAAGGTTTGTCATGAACATTTTTTTTATTCTAGAGAACTCTGATTGTATTTTGAAAACGAAATTCATAAATTAAATTGAGAATTAGGAACAAAAATTTCGAAGAAAAACATACGTCACCGATTAATTATCAGATTATATTGTTTGACTATTATCCTTGAAAAATATCTTGTTATCGACCTTTGCGGAATTTCAAAAATTATTTTTAGATTTCGGTAAAAATCATGACATATACGTTGTATGTTTTTCAAGATTTATAAAAAGCTGTGTGTTCAAAAAGAAATTTTTCTCTTTTTTTTTAAATTTTTTGTATGGATTATAAGGGTAGTAATTTATTGTGTAATGATGAAACATTTTTATCACGTGAGAAGATATCAACATGATAACTGTAAATGGCCTTCTATAACAGATTAATTTTTTTTATACTAGCTGAAAAAGTTTAGCGCAATAAATATTTCATGTTTCTGTAGAAAAAAACTATTGTAAGTTAAAATTTTTTTAAATTTTAAAGACGAAGCTTTAGAAAAATTATGTAAATGTTATTTAAAAAATGTGAAATTAATATAACATGTTTCGCACACATATAGAGACAAAATTAAATATTTTTGTTCGGTATGATATCATAAAATCATTCCGCTTGATTTTCATTATCTTTTTGGACATAAATACAAAGCACTGATAGGTGCAAAAATTCAAAGAGAATTATTTTCTAATCATAGAATTTTTCTCTCTTTTTCTGAAAATGCAACAAATTAACGATTTAAATAAGCATGAGAAGGATATGTTTTAGTTTTAATCGTAGAAAGAAATGTTTACAATAGAAACTCATCGTTAGTGATAATTTATTATATGTGAAACATTCTGTTCACTTATCTATATTAATTTATATTAATTTGTTTTTTATTTCCGATGTCATTTCAGTTTTAGTGTTTAATTGGATATTGTTTTTAATTCATTGATGAAATATCTACATCATCTGATAATTATTTTAAAGAATCAACAATTGCAAACTAATTAAAAAGATTTTCTCACATATATATTTCTAAATTAAATAATATACTTTAATAATATTATTAACAAAGTATATAACTGTTGTTTTTTTTATATTAGTGTAGCAAAAACATTTTAAAAAGAAAACAATAGAACGGGACCGAAGAGCTTTCAAATTTAGATGTTTCTTTTAAAACCCAGACTCAATATATACAACATAAATTAATACACGCGTGAAATAAACTAAGGCGACCTTGTCCATTGATTCTGCACGATCGTGGCTCGAAACGAGGTGAACAACGTCAAATGAGGGTCCACGAGTTCGCTCGCGTTTCTATTCTCATCCGCGCGATTCATGCGTTTTCACGCGATTTGAGTCATTCGTATATACGAACGAAATTTCGAAAAAGCGACGCCAACGCGGGAATGAGATGACGTAGCCCACCACCCACCTGTCAACGACTGCTATTTTTGAGATACGCCTATATTACTTTGCCTTGATGCACGCGATACCGCGAATTTGGCTATTGGGTTTGCTTGCGACATGTTTGCACATATGCGAGAGAAGAGATGATTTAACATTCCTCAGCTTGCATTTTATCCTTAGGAAAAAAGATTAAATTGTCATAGATACACGTTATAGAAGAATTTTTGTATATACATTATTAAAAATTATTTAATAATATTTTAGTGTATACGTATTTCTGTTAATTATTTAAAAAATTTTTCGAAAGCTGCGTATAAAATCAATTTTAAATGAGAAAAGAAAAACACAAATAGTTTATTAATATAAAAAAATTTTCGAAAGCTGGATCTAATTGATTGCTAAATGAGAAAATAAAGCAATTGAGATGTAAATAATGCTTGATTAATAGTTTCATAAAAAATAAATAAATGATTTTTAAAAGACTGTGATAAATTGAAAAAATCTTAAAAATTATTAATTTTAATTTAATTTTAATTTACCGAGTATTATTATTTCATTGCTTTATTGATTTACTGCAAAATAATTATAATCAAATTTTCTCTCATATAATACATTAAATATTACATATTAACGGTGGTTTTCTTGGAAGTTTTATCAAACTCAATTTTTTCAGAATTGATCTTTTTTTATTACAACTCAGTGTTTTCATTAATAATTTGAATATTAAAATATTGGAAATTTGTCACCCCTTTATATTACTTACAATTATACAGAGAAAGTATAAATATTTTAAGTACTAGAAACGATTACACCGCAAAGTCGAAAATCGGAAATGTTCTCTACAAAATTATTTCATGTTGCATTTTAATTATAATTCATTGTTTATCAGAAAAAAGAGAATATCTCATAAAGAAAGACTTATCAGCACAAGGGTGATTTATATAAAATTTTAATTAAAAAGATCAAAAATGTAATGTCTGTAATCTCTTTGTTTAATTACTATTTTAATAAATTATGATAATTCGAAGATTGAGAAAGGCTAGATGAGGGCAACACAAAGCAGAAAAAGATTACAGATATCATTGTTCCTCATTAACATTGTGATATTGCATGGTACAATATGCCTCTTTTATCGCAGAAACGTGCGATGCTGTCAAGAATGCAATAATGTGTTTCGTATCACCAACATTAATTACGCAAAGTAACTTTTCGTAGATACCCGGAACGGTGATACACAATTGGCAAATGTTTTCCGCGTGGCAACTTTAATGTCGAGATCTAAGAGATTCGCCAATCATTAAGCGAGAAAGATACCATAGCTTTCGATCAAATGACAAGATTTTTATATGATTTTTTTATGCGAAGCACAGCCTTCCGCATATATAGCGAAATGTTTACGAATTTATTTTATTGATATCCTGTCAAATTATGCTCAACGTTTCAACATTAAAAATATCACGCATTCAGCACATTTTTCCCAATTATGTGTAAACAATGTACCGGAAATGTCTCGAGACACGAAGATAAATTTTCGCAGATGCTGTTTGGTAAAGGCTTTGCCAACCGTTAAACAATCGTCTGTTTATAAATTGATTCACAACTCTACGCCAAGAAGACGAGACAGATATTCATACAAAAACCTGATAGATTGTTCATAAAACTGCTCCGCAAATTAAATGTCACGCAACTGACATTTCGTTTTTGTTTAACAATACTTCACAATCTTGAAATGAATCGTTTCGAAATATATCGGGAGATTAACGTGATAAAGCTTATCAACTTTTAGTATAAATAGTATGATAAATATTGACAGAAAAAAAATCAAAATTATTTTATACATACGTATAATTTCCACAAAACATTATTTTATTTTTACATATCTATTTAAAAATATTTTAATAACAATATTACACATATAATCTCCCTTACATTATTATGTAAAGTATTATTTTAAAATTTAATTGGCAACTTTAATCAGCTAATTTCTTTCAAAATATATTAATTAATAAAACGTTAGTTTGCTAATTAAATTTTAAAATAATATGTTATATAAAAATAGCAATTTATGTTGTAAATAATATGTTATAATGCCTTATCCTCCCCGATTAATATTTTTGACAGATATCAGCTGATAACTGTCAAAAATATAACTCGAGTTTAAAATATTATATAATAAGATATTAATATATTATTTTATTTTAATTTTCATAACATATTATTATTTTAAAATTTAGTTATTAAATTAACGCTTTATTAATCAGCTGATTTCTATCTAAAAATATTAATAAAGCGTAAGTCTGCTAATTAAATTTTAAAATACATACAACACAGTTGATTATAATTTTTAAGCAAAATAAATTTTCGAAACCTTTGAACCAAAATTGACGTCAAATGAGAAAAGAAATAACACAAATAATTGATTATTATTAATAAAAATAAATTTTGAAATGGATCTAATTAGTTGTTAAATGAGAAAATAAAGTAATTAATTGTAAGATATAAATAATTAAGAGAAATACAAAGATTTTATCTATAAATATATATTATTCAGTCAGTTGATACACATACACACATATTTTCCACAAATAAGTCGAATGCCAGCAGTGACAAGAAAACTTTCCTTAATTGGGCTTAATTTTCCACATCGCGGACTAATCTGGAGAGTTTATCTAATAACACACGTTAACGTGACTGCGTCGTAAAATTATCTTAATGATCGGTAATAAAGCAATTTATCGCTTTCTTGACATTGATGATTTATGTACATGTATTGTCAGCATATTAATAATTATGAGACGTGGAATAAATGTAAACGGAAAAAAATAGAAAAACACTCTCGAAAAGCCCGTTTGTTCTTTGTAGCAGGCAATGGCCCGTAATTATTTTTAAATGGCCTAATCTCAACCACGATCTATTTATATAGAGTTGAATAGCATGTCACTCAAAACATCGGTAGAGTACAGCGACGAATTAGAATTAGACAGTCAGACGATCAGTTGATCGACGTGACGTACCGGAAATGAAATTTCTTTGAACTTTCAACTTTGAAAGTGGTGTCTTCGGCTACTCTTTATCTTATTCCAGTGATAGAAAAAATAAATAATTCGTCTCATTCCCAGATTCATCCAATTGTATTACAAAACGATCATACATAACACAAAATATCTAAAGAAATCTCTACAATTATTGCCGGCTAATTATTCTAAGGACGAATACGTTGAGAAATGTTTACTCGGATATTTTCTCCTTTGTATATATTTATATCCGTATCTCTTATCTTTTTTGTATGAATCTATTGCTTTATACATTTGTTCGTAAATATAATACAATCAAGGAGAAGAAAATTATTTTATAATGTTGCCTTTTTTTATTTTTCTTCTGCACTTATTTGTGAAAAATTGTGAAATGTATATCTTATTTTGTTATAAATTATTTATTGAATCGATTAACTAAATATCATAAATTTGAAACAAAATGACATAAATAACACGAAAATTAATTACCACAAATCAATAATAAATTCTGCTGAATAAAAACATCAAAACAAGTAATTTTAAGTTACAGCACGAATTTGTTCACATTAATTTTGTGTATAATCTAAATATTCCAAAATAACTCATTTATATAATAAATATATAATTAACAGTTTCAGAAAAATGGTTACGTCATCTTGGAAGATTTCTTTCGTCCGGAGGAGATCGAAGAATTGAAATTCTGTGGAGAAGAATTTACGAACAAGTTGCCACCTGAATCGGAACGAAAGATATTTAATACAATAGAATTACAACAGGTATATAAAATTATATAATGATGAAATTAGTAATGTAATATTAATAAGTATATATGTAATATTAATAAATAAAATTAATAATTAATCATGAGATACATAAACAGATGAATAAAATCGGAAAAATCGAGTAATGTGTATTTTGTGAATAATTATAGATAATTTTTGTTAAAAAATAAGAACAAATATAGAGCTAATATAAATATCATAAAATACAATGTCTACTTTTCGCTAATTTCATAAAGGAAATAAAACTCGAAAATATATAATATCTGAATAATATCAACGAAAATAATGATTGTCTTGTTTTAGAATAAGGATAAATACTTTTTGGATAGCGCTAATAAAATAAGTGTTTTCTTTGAGACTGAAGCTCTGGAGGAAGACGGAAAACTGAAAGTTCATCCAAGAGTATCGTTAAACAAAGTAAACTATCTTAAAAGACAATTTCTAATTGAATTTTCGCAATTTTTAAATAATTATCTTGTGATGCAATATATTTTTCAGGTGGCTCATGCACTTCATTGGTTACATCCTACCTTTAAAAAGTATACTTTCGATGAAAGAGTTAAAGAAGTTGCCTTTCAATTAGAGTATCAGGAACCGGCAGTGTGTCAATCAATGTACATTTATAAGAATCCTGGAACAGGCTCGGAAGGTAGCTAAATTAATTGCTTGCATTTTCTATTTCTACTTCGCGTGCAAAAAATGCAAGATTATCTATAATTTAATACATATCTATAATTAGCAAAATTATCATATAACATAATCATGACGTCTAATAATGCTTATAACGCTTCTTATTTTCTTGCAGTTACGATGCATCAGGATGCAACGTATTTATATACCGAGCCAGTGAAACTCGTGGGTTTTGGATCGCATTGGAAGACGCTACGCAAGAAAACGGATGTCTATGGATTGCCCCGGGTTCACATCAAAGCGGAGTGCACAGGCGTTATATACAAAACAAAGATGTAAATTCGCAAGAATTATTAATGTACGATAGAGCGGCGCCCTGCTATCCGTTAAGTAATTTCAGGCCTGTTCCAGTACGCAAAGGAACTTGTATTCTTATTCACGGTCAAGTAGTACATTTTTCTTATCCCAACAAGAGCGAAGCATCGAGACATGCTTATACATTTCATGTGATTGAGACGAAACACGCGTCTTATTCAAAAGAAAATTGGCTTCAACCACCTGCTGGTGGTTTTGCAAATCTCTATAGAAATTAGGTGCATCGTTTTAAAAATTATTATTCGTTGTATTACTGTATATATTATCTATAATTTTTATTTCGTTTTTTTAACAAAACAAAATGACATTCTATATACAGTTTAGAAACTTAACAAAAATTTTGATTAAATCTATTATTTTATACATTGTATCAAAAAAAATAATTAATATCGAATCAATGAAAGATATCGTGTGCATAAAATGGTAACGCTTCAGGAAACTTGCTTGTACAGTAAATTTTTTCCTGAAAGTAGACTTAAATTTATATTCGAAATTATATTCGAATATGTCGATTTTTATAGGAATACTCGCAATTTTATCTCTTTTACTAGACTTTTTCATATGCAATTCAGTCATTTGGCCGATTTCGGCTAAAGATTATCACAATGCTCTTACTCGAAAATACAGTTACGATATCTTTCATTGGTGTTATCGAATATCCTTTCTATCGTTCTTAAAAGACTATCGTTTATTATCGTCTTTTATGATAATGCTTAATTGTCATTTAATCAAATAAATGTATTATTAAAAATAGATGTATACATTTTGTCGAAATATTTAATTAATGTTTCTACACGTAAAATAAATTAACGAGAGAATTATTGATGTATATAAAATATATATTTATATGTGAAGAGCTAAAGCACAAAAATGTGTAGTCAAATCTTGTAACTGCTTCAATCCAGTTTTCAATGGCTCTTCTTTTAATATTATACAGTAATATATATCCAAAGGTGTTACATCAAATGTTTGTCTCTCTGTGTCAGTCAAAAATGTGTTTAAATTTTGTTGCAAACAAAGTAATGTTTGATATTTTATATTGGAATGTTCAGCTTGGAGAAGTATCCTAATTACAAAAAAAAAAATTACATAAATATACAATATAGAGGAAGTGTCTTAAATATTGAAATATATATTATCAGTATCTAATAGAAATTGACTGTGTTTAGATACTGTGAGAGATACTTACTTATTAAGACTCTGTGTTAAATCGGCCACCTTTTTCGAGATCTCTGGTCGCAGATATTCTATAGGTGTAGGTAACAACGATAAATTTACAGGCTTGAAATTAAAAGAATGCGCTATTCCTGCATTGCTACATGCCGTACCACTGCCATAAAGAATACAAAAAATATAGAATATCTTATTAGATACATTTCTTGCAAAAATATATGTGATATGTATCTTAAAACGAATTCTTACCATATGTCACGCGCGTAATTATAAACATGTTGGAAGTATTGGAATACTTTTCCTGCTCTAATTTCTTGCTCTTGGACATCTTCTATAGTGCCTATCTTACAGTGCAATTTTTTCTGTTGTATATTAATGATATAACTACGACATTTCTTCTTGAGTTCCTAAAAACATCAAAAATTTTCAAAATTAATTAACGCTCTTGATTTGATTATAAAATTATATTTATACAAATATATCAAGTATTACCGTAATTGCATTAAACGTTTGAGTAATAAGTTCACTATGTTTATCTGCTTTAACTGCTTGTACTAAATCGCTGCACTTTTCTAAGATGTATTCCACATCTTCCAGTTTTCTGCCACCAACTGAAATAACATCATTATTAAAACACATTATGAAATGTAATATATTTTTCATTATTATAGGATATGTGTTACATACCTGGTAAACGCTCAAACGCTTGAAGTAATTCCTTCAAAATGTATTCAGCACGTCTTTGAAACGATTCATTTATTGCAGCGATCCAGTGCTTTATAGCACACTTTAATGCAGTTACTATAGTCCAAGGTGGCTTTATGATGATATATAACTCCCACTCTTCTGCTCCATAAATTTCTGACATTTGTTTCTTGATAATCTGTAAAAACAAAAAATATATATATACATTTACGTTTGATAATTGTGAGTAGACTCAAATAATCTAATGTATATAATACATACTATTGACAAAAAGTCTTTCATAGTCATTTTCGTATCTTCAAAAACATCATCTGCTAAGCGTAATTCATCGTTGAAGAAAGAATCTGTGATGAGACCATCAGTTAAATAATTTATTACTTTGTCATTCACATTATAATAATCTATTTTCTCAAGAGGATCATTACGTCCCAATGCCAATATATTATATATCATTGCTTTATTACAGAGATTTTTATCGTATGATAATAAAACCTGTGCAAAAAGTAAGAATTAATACAGTATCTTTATTAAGAGATTAAACTTTCCTATTGTACAACATGAGAAAATGACACCTTACCACAGATTTTTGTAATTTACAAATTTGTAAACAGCATTGCAAGATCTCATCATCTGGACAAGTAAGAGAAAATTCGTCTTTATTTTGTACTGACTGTTCTCGTGTTTGACCTATGATACGTGGATGTTTAGAGGCAAAATGTTCATGAATAAAGGATATAGCTTTCCTAGCTTTTATCCATAACTCATGTGTAGATTTATTATTCTTTATATAATCTAATTCCTGTATTACAAAATTTGAAAATGTAATACCATTAAAACTTTCATAGATGTAAAAGAAAAAAATAGAATATATTGATTATATTAATATCTTATACTTACATGTATCACAGTCCACGGAATTACAATGAAAGGACGTGGATAATTTTTAAATATTGCATCTCTTGCTTCTTCAATAATTTTAAGATTTGAAAGAAATACATTTGTATCCACAACAATATACAACGGACACTTCTCTTGTGGCTCTGTTCCTGATTCATTATGCTGTATTAACTCTACAGTATTTCCCGATATATAATTTGTCTCCACATGATTTTTACTGCCCAATTGTGTTCTTACAACTTCAATCTATAATAAAAAATACATTAAATGCAAACAATTAATTTTCCTCAACTCCTAATATTTTTTATATAAAATACATAAACACACACAACAGATTTTTAATTTATGTAAGTTAAAAAGATGGATGAAGAAATATAAAATCATATGAAATAAATACATAATAATAATAATCAGATATATCTATGTAAATTCTATCTGTAATACACAAATTAATTAATGTTTTGATTACACTAGTAATACCTCCTGTGTGATGTCTTCATCATTCAATGGTTCCCAATCCATTTCCTCATACAGAACTTCTTGTTTTGCCTGTTCTATTAATTTTTCTTTTGTCACATTCTCAATAACTAGTTCTTTATTTTGTTGAGCCTGTGACTTGTCATTTGATGTGACACTATTTTTATATAATGCATCCTTTAGAATTCTGTGATGCAATCTCGTAAGTCGAACTTGAACATTTCTATATAAGCATGACGATCCTAAATTGTTTTTGTCTGTGAAAATAAAATAATTTAAGAATATTAAAAAGTATAACAAAAAAATTTTTTAAATTGTTTAAATATAAATACAGCTGTAAAATATTATATGCTTACTGTAAGAGTTGGGTTTGGTAAGCTTTTGTGGATTTTTTTCGTTGATTATAGTACGTCCAATTTCTTTTAGTTTCTCCTTATCTAAACTTAAATTTTTTCTTAATATACGCATCCTTTCTTTTGCAATATTTTTTTTTTGTGTAGGATTTGGTTGTCTTCTCTCTAAACATAAAATTTATTTTAAGATTTTAATAATAAATAAAATGCAATATTTAAAAATATTAACTATATTATGTATTATAATTGCATTACTTACTTAAAATATTTTGATTGTGCGCTTTTTGAACATTCTCTATTTTATTTTGACGTTGCTGAACATCATTTTTATTTTGATTCGCAGTTTCTTGACGTCTGACTCTTGGACTCTTTTCTCGATTCTCTTGGGTTTTTATTAATCTCTGGCTTGTAATATTCAAGTCTTCCTGTTTACTTTTAGCATTAATCTTCAACTTTTTATCTGAATTAGATTTATTTATTAAATTCCGCAGCTGAATTTTTTCATAAAGAACAGACATTTGTGGTGTAAATGTTGTAAAACCAGACGCTTGTGGTTTAACTGTTCTTTTTTCATTATCATTTTTATCCAATTTTGATTCATCATTTTTAGTTAATCTTGATATTCTTTTCGAAGAAGAAACTGGTTTATTTTCTGCCAACTTGGCTGATGTTTTTGACGATGAAGCAACAGGTTTATCTTTGGCAATTAACTTTTGCAGCATTTTTTCTCGAATTATTTTCATCTGTGGTGTGTCTATAACTTTATTATTTAATCCTTGTTGGCAAGATGTCTTTCTATTTTCAGGATTTCTTTCAGGTGTTTTCGATGCCTGTGTCTCTTCATGATTGCTTTTCTGTCTTTTATTATTTATCTAAAATATATAGAATAAATGTTGAAATAAGTATAGAATAAAAAACATACAGAATGTATAAATCAGAAAAAATGTGATATATTTTATATCAGAGATACATTCCAAATAAATACTATAACAAACTAAAATACCTTATTGTCTTCATCCTCATCGACTGGCACAGCCCATGTAGATCTATTTGTTTTTACATTAAAATAATAAATTCTATCAGGGTGACTTCTAGAATGTACAGTTATCCAATTGCTCGGTAATTTCCGCTTCACCATTTTTAATATCAGTATTAATAAATTTGAGGATGAAAGATGTATCAGCTATTATTCTCGCTTCTTCGATATTAGATGTCCGGTCAGATTGTGATCTTTCAATGATCAGGAAGGAAACATACGTTTATCAGTTAACGAAACGATATAATAATTAGTCGAACAGATGTAAACACAAAATATACGAGGTCAAATTCTACCTAATATACCTTATTAGATTCGACTTTCAACTTCGTAAATACGTCTCATTGGTAGACGGAAACAGACTGACAGACTTTGTTTTTCTAACGTATGACGTCACTAAAGAGATTCTAATTTTAATTCTTAGCATAAAAAAGTATTACTCCATCCAATGATGACAGTTGATCAGAATTATCGATATTTTTAATAATTTAGCTTTAATAAATAATTTGGAATTATAAATTATATTTTATACGTGATAAAACAAAAATCGATATAAAGTTTCGGTAGATGACAATCATGAAAAGCACCACGCCGCCATATAAATTCGTAATGCTCTAAAGGTCCGTTCACATGTATGAACTTTCATTTCTCCGATCCATGAAAGTGGTCACTAAACAGAAGGTCTCGTCAGATTTCGCAAACTGATTGCAAATGGCAGTTGATAGCAGTTAAACGTGACACTAGGTTATCGAGACTTGTCAAGTATTAGTTGTTTCGCCATCGATAAATCATGACATCCATCAGCGAAGTCGACGCGGTGCCGAAGTCGAAAAAACCATCGGGTAAGTATTTCTGCAATCATCAAAGCAATTATCAACAATTAGCAAATCTTAATTTACGATCATTGATTAAGTTTTTGCATGAATTTCCTTCTTTTTTTAAATGTATTTTACATGTATATACGCTAATATTATATATATATTTAATAATTAATTTTAATAATATTGATACAAATTTTATTTTATATACATTATATATATATATATATATATAATTTTGTATATTCATAGAATTGTTTAAGTAATATATATTATAAATTATAATATATCGTTTCAAGATTTAATTATTTTATATAAGATGCATATAATATGCATTTATTACATGCACACGTATATATATAACATACATATATGTATATATAATTTTTATTCGATTCCATACAGATAGCGCATTCAAACAGCAACGATTACCAGCCTGGCAACCCATACTTACAGCTGGCACAGTTCTACCGACGTTTTTTGTAATAGGAGTCGCATTCATTCCAGTCGGTATAGGTCTACTTTACTTTTCTGACGAAGTCAAAGAACAGACAATAGATTATACTAATTGTAACTCCACTAATATCACTGGAAGTGATAGACTACCTATGAAATGTGCAGATGTAATTGCAGCAGATCCTCACAGTTTATGTACGTGTGAAATACATTTCAATCTACCTGTAGACTTTGTTGGCAATGTTTACATGTATTATGGCCTGACAAATTTCTACCAGAATCATCGTAGATATGTCAAATCTCGAGACGACAATCAATTGTTAGGAAAATTGGATGAGTTGGTCTCGAGTGACTGCGAACCATTTGCCTATGAAGAAGTAAACAACACTAAAACTCCTATTGCTCCATGTGGGGCCATTGCAAATTCACTTTTTAGTGATGAACTCACACTATTTTCTATAAAACACAATAAATCTGTGCCATTGTTAAGAACTGGTATAGCATGGCCGTCTGACAAAAATATCAAATTTAGAAATCCTGAAGGAGATTTGAAAAAAGCATTTCAGAACTTTGCAAAGCCTAAGAACTGGACTAAACATATTTATCAGTTAGATGAGAAAGATGAAAATAATAATGGATTTCAAAATGAGGATTTAATTGTATGGATGAGAACTGCTGCATTACCTACTTTTAGGAAACTCTACCGTAAAGTTGATCATGATAAAGATGGCTTCAGTGGTGGTCTACTACTGGGAAATTACATTCTTAGAGTCAAATACTGTAAGTATAATTTAAACAAATTGAAATATAATCAGTAACTGTAAGATAAAGAATTTATATATTGTAAAACTTGATACGTTTTTTATGTGATATTTTTTTTATTTTATTTAGTTTCAAGAATTTATATAATATATTTGAACAATTTTTTTCCAGCATTTTCTGTATCCGCTTTCCATGGAAAGAAAAAGATGATTTTAAGCACAACTTCACTTTTGGGAGGAAAAAATCCTTTCCTTGGTATTGCTTACATTGTTGTAGGAAGTTTGTGCTTAGTGCTCGGCATAGCATTGCTCATTATACATATTAAATGTTCTAAGAGGTAACAATCATATTTATATACTATATAATGTCTTTCAATCTTATCTGTCTATTATAAACAACAATAAATATATAAAATTACTATATACATAAAAACAGTTTCTCTTTAATAACTTTTTCGATACAAAAGAACAATTAGTTACTCCAATATAAAGTAATATAAAAGTAAAATAAAATATATGTTAATATCTTCATGTTCACGCGTGTACTTTGTGTAACTGTGAAAATGTATAAATGTGTATCAATTAAATATCAATATATCATCTTGTGATTTAATATGCATTCTTGTGTTTTTAAAAATAATAAGCAATCTTTTATATTTGATTGAAAGAGATATTTCGATATTTTTATTCAATATTTTTTTATAATATGAGTAATATAACCTGATATATGTTATACAGCAAACTAATGTAAAGACGACTACAAGAAAATATACTTAGGCACCATGTATGTTCTTGTAAGTGTTTGTGATATTGTGTTATGTCTACTCTCCATAATTGATATGTAAAATGTTGGCTTGTATGATGAAATATGACTAATCAAGCAATATTTTGTCATTATAATTTATTGTTTCAATGCTCAGAGTATGTACTAAAAGATATGTTTTTTGATAATAATACAAACAAGAATCACGGTAATAACTAGCTCGGTTAGTCATATTTATATGTATTGTATGCTTTGCACAGGATGTATATAAATTTTTCTGCATACATCAGAAAAATAAGATATTTATATTTACAATGCTGCTGTGTAATTTTACGATCTTGATTTCATTAATTGTGTGAATTATTAAGAAGACAAAAAAGAATCATAATTATAATACAATTGTCTAAAAGTAAAAATGTCTATATGAACTATCTTTTATTTAGAAAATATATATAAAGTTAATAGACAAAGTAAAACAATCTATTATGAAATGCACTATTTTAATATGCTTGTTTTTGCTTTATATATATATGTATGTATGTATGTATTTATTGTGTTTGTAATTATGTATCCATGTATAGGAATTTAAAAAAATTATATTAGGGAATATAAATAATGCTTGCCTATGGCACATAATTATAATATAATTTATATTTATCATAAAAATATGAATAAGTATAATAAAAAGCATGTAGCATGTCTTAAAGAAAAATGTTGACTTGAATTTTTACAAAATATATAGAGCTCTAATTTTCATATATCATTACATTTCAAAACATTTTAATTTCTTTTATGGTTTAATAATTACAGATTTTATTTTATTACCAAGAACAAAATAATGCGAAAATTTTTGTTTGCATTTATCTTTTATATATATATATATATATATTTCTGTTTTTTAGTACCACCGACATGATCAATGTGACTCCAACTACGGAATATCATTAGGAATGATCCCTCTACGAATTGAGCATAACTTTATCAATTGGATCAATTATTGGTTATAATATTTGCTTTAAGACGTGCGATCTTTTTCCGTTCAACAATAATTATATTCGTTTAATTGTCATAAACGAAAACACAGATGAATATGGTAAAGCAACCAGCACATAAATTTCTTATTTATTTAAAAAATAATTAGCTTTTAAAACTAATTGAGTTTCAGTATTGTTATATAATGTAGCACATAATAGGATATTTGTAATTATATATGTTTGGAATTATATATAAGTCACAAATATTTCAAATCATCAAGCTCAGTTAAAAATATTTGAAGCTTAATTGACAATCAATTGTCTATAATTGTTATTTAATTGAGTTATAAATCCTATTATGAGACACTACAAAATTAATAGAAGTATTATACACACACACATACTGACACAAAATATTTATATTATTAAATATTTATATTATTTCACTTGTGAGATAGTAAACTTGTTATAAGATATACTCTTTTTAAAAAATGCACTTGATGCATTTGTTGATGCACGTTTATTATTTGTTCTATATATTTGGATTGATATAAAGTTATAATTATAAAATATCTTTACTTTAAATCTAGAATATATATATATATTCATATATATATATATATATATATATATATATATAAAGCTATAGAAATTGAATGTATAATAAACATTTACTTGTGTGAATAATTTCATACAACTTTAAATTTTTTTCGGTAAAATTTTATTTACTTAACTTTGATGTACATAGATACAAGGATAACTTTTAATATGTAATGTCAGACAAATTAATATTTTCCAAACGCACAAACACAAAAGTATCTTCAAACTGTTGTATTGCATGAACAAGATCATTGACGCTGTTATTTTGAAATTAATATTTATTATGCATTTTTTTTTTAATGTTTTAAAAATATTAGAAAGATATATATAGGAAAATAGAATATATTGCATTTCCATATATTATTTCTGAAATTATAAAGTGTTATGTACATATTTTTAGTAATAGGTATAGTATAATTTCTTTCCATAAAAAATTTCTTATTTATTAGTAAAAATAGCTACTATTTAAATTTATAATTAATAAGACGATAATAATGAATTATAACTTTGATATATATTTATGCGTGATTTATAAATGTATTCAAATATTGATGCATTTTTAAATTGAGTAAAAATATTTGAATACTTTCATATTCTATGTATCGACATGCAATATTCAATAAGTTGAACTTCTTTATGGAAATAGTACCGTTCTCAGAATTGTATATTAAATGCAATTTAGTTTACTGTGCCTTAACTAAAAACTGTGCTATGACTACATACTATATATATATATGTATATTATGCGTCATGTAATTAAAATTAGAAAATATAACTCTGCAATTACTTTATAATAGCATAAAAAATTGTTAAAGTTAAATTGCAGTATAAATAGAATATTTGTAAAATCAATCTAGTCGACTATGAATGTATAAATAATAAATTTAAAAAAAATGATTAAAATGTACGATTTTTAAATAGGGAAACGATAAAAATTTGTGTACTTTCTAAAAATGCTCATAATTAGCACATGTTTTGATTAATATCAAAAATTATAAAATCTCCAAATAAGCGCATTTTTTGAAAATTTTATCAAGAAAAGTTTTATTTATATGTATAAGATATGCTATTATAAAATTGTTTCGTGAAAAGATCGTGAACAAAAAGAGATGATTAAACTTGTAAAGAGAGAATATCTTTTATACATACACGTATCTCTTCTGGTAATCGCATTTCTTAATAGAATTATAATAAACTTTTATCATTATATTAAATAACCAATCGACTTGCGCGCGCAAGGCAACGCTCGTGCGCGACAAGCGGAGCGGAGCGGAAATATTTTCGAGCGCCATCTTGCCTCGCAACCATAGTAATTCGTCAGTGCCTGTGAATGGACTTGTCATAAGTGTCTTATATTATTTCGCCTCTTCCCGTTCGGCCCGAAGGTTCCGCGGCTCCAAATTTCTGAGTGATTTCCCCCGTAAGGTGAGTAACAAACAAACATCATCCTCACTTTCATCATCATCAATGTCATCATCATCAACGTCATCATCATCATCATCATCATCATTGTCCTCGTCATCGCGCGAGCAAGCGGAGTCGAAGACGGGAGCCAGTGGACGCGAAACGGGATCGAGGACGCGGTTTACCGTGACGTTTTCCGTTCACGCGCCGCTTCCACCGTTATTTCTCCTCTCTCGAGACAGAAAGAACAAGGAGGACAGCTCCGACGAGGGTGTTCCGCGTCGACCGCGCCCGTCCTGCTCCGAAATCCGGAGCAAACGCGAGGAGGATATTTTGACACGCGATACTCGAGAAATTGACGTAGCTGTCATGTCACGTATATCTACTTTTGCGTGTCCAACTCGCGGCGAAGATCCCTCCAGGGATCGATGATTAGGAGTGTATATACGTGCGTCACGCTCGACTCGTCCTTCCTCCCTCTCTCTCTCTCTCTCTTTCTCTTTTTCTCGGATAAAGTCACGGCTGGCCGAGTGAATAAGCGCGCGCCGCGAGAGACGCGAGGTTGCTCTTTAAACAACGGGGAATGCATTCGTCCATGCGTTTCTCGCCAGCGTGTTATTCTCCTTCCCGCTGACGTTTCTCCTCGGCTTTGTGTATGTATGTGCGCGAGTCAAAATCCGACAGCCTCGGAGAACGTTCAACCGCGATTTCCTTTTGCCTCGCCGAGAGTCTATATAAGCGAAAAGAATTCACGCCCCGCGACTCGCTGGAATCGACCTTTAAATATATTTAGTAGTAATTGTACAATAGCAATAATTTCCTGCTCTCGTGTGTGTTTGGATGTGTGTGTGTGTGTATATATGTATATTTCCTGCCGTTCCATATCGTCGTCGCTATTTAATCGTGCCACGATTTTATATGACGCCGTTTATTTTACAATTGTTTCTATAATTAAATACGAGTGTCGAATTTAAATTTTTTTCTGACTATGAATTTTAGAGATGCACAAGTATACTCATTTTTGTTAATTTCCTTGGAAATATAAACACTTAACTTTCTGCTTGAAAAGGCTGTTTACTACTTATTATTCTGTTGTAGTATAACATTTCTATTTTAATGCAACATTAATATGCGAGTTGATACATGTTTAATAAAAAATTAGTCAGATGATACAAAAGGGCAGAGAGGACAATGATCAATACTTTCATGGTCAATGTATAATGCTATTAACACGAGGGAAGGAAACCTTATAAGAAATTCTACAGATTATTGTATAGTTTAATCTAACACTTTTTTGTGATGTGTCAACTTATGCTCTTCACTTTCTGCGAACAATTCTTAGTAATCGTATATTTGCATAGTCATGCTCAGCAGGAAGAAAAACATTATTGCTATGTTTCGAAGCATATATCCTTTCATTATAGATTTAAAATATATTTAATAATATTGAGATGTAATTCATTGATATATAAACTTGAGATAAAAATTATTTGATAATTTTTTATCATTTTAAAGAAACACATGATCTTATTCTTTAAATATCCTATAAAAATTAAAATTCTGCTAATTTAAGTCTTAGACATCATAAAATTTTCTTATCAGTTTTTCATATATTAATAATTATATGTATACACACACACTGATAATCATTGCACAGATGAAAAATAAAATATTACAATGTTAGGATTGCTATGATAAGATAAGCAACGAACATAATACAACCATGTTACAGATAATTTTTTTTTTTCAGAAGAGCAATACAATTTGTTAAAGGAAGGTGTACATCTTTATCTCCATCAATGTAAGTAATTTTTTTGCAGTTTTTCGCATGTTTTTATATCATTTGCAAATAAGGTGGCTTGACAACATAGGTTTTATTTTCCCTCGGTAGATTGACAATTTTTTAAAAGGCTAAATTCGAGTTTACTTTCCAATTTAATGCTTTGCTTATCAACATCATTTTTAAAGAACATAACAAGCATAAAATTTAATGAGATGTCAGATTTTCAAATTGAATCTAATGTCAAATTTTTTCTATATACGTATAATGGATTGTTTATTACCTAGCATATGGATATATTAATTTAACTTTGAATGTATATTAGAAAAAAAACGAGTATAATAAAAAGAACCATAACTTTACTCGTTTTTGAAAAGATTAAAGGCACAAAATTGATATTGTTTTTTTTAAACGCCACGTCACTAAATTAACTATAAAAATACTTTTTATAGAATATTCTTGGTCTTGTAAAATGATACATTTCATAGATGGTGACATTTTATAAAGGCCTTAACAGCCAATGTATATGTTGTAAATCAATATTTAGTATGTATGTGTATGTATATGTATGTATGAGGATGAAATTATATTTATTTTTAAAAAAAAGTGTAAACTAAGTATATATTATTATTAAAATAAAGTATTTTATATTATCAATAATATACCAATTATTTTTATGACGTATAAGAAAAAAAATCTTTAAAAAACATGAGTTGTGCCTATTTTAAAAACAGAATACAAATTTCTTTCTTTGATAAGCTACTGTAATTACTATAATTATAACCACTTCTTTTATATTAGTAATTTGCAAGTATATTAAAGACATATAGTATATATGCATCGCTATTATTTTTACTGCATACATTCATAATTTTAGAATTTATTAAAAAAATTATTAGCTCTCTTTTATAAAATTTCATGTAATATTCATTTGCATAATATTAGTATTTAACAAAATTAATGTCATTATCATTCATGTACAAAATGATGTGTCATACCTTTAAGATATGGTATATGTACATCAAATTTCCGATACTTATTTACTGGTGTCATCTGATAGTTTAGGCTTTTGTTGTGATTCGGAGTATTTGGAAGTTTTCTATATTTCTGGGCGAGTCTCTTCGTCAACAACACCAGCGATATTTCATTAATCAAGAATGGCAATGCAGAAGGTAAATTTAGTGTTCACAATATTCGCAATTGACGAATTAATTGCACTTACTTAACAACGTAAAATTCGATGTTAAAGCATTTTATTAGAGAAGATCTGTGTTTCAGTAAATAATATCTGTCAATCTCTCTGTGAAAATAATTTATTATTTTTTATTAGAAAAATTTTTGTTATATATGTGTTATGTGATCTATATACTCAAGTTTTTTTAATTTATCAATCCTTTTGTTATATGTATATGATGCACCTATACCTCGATTTACAGCATTTACCAGCCGAATAATGTCTTAATGATAGTGAAACTGATAATGACAAATGTACATTATGCAAGTCAGTATTGCATTAAATATTGTTATATAATTATTTAGGCTCAATTTTTATTTTATATCTTGTCACTATATATTCAATGTAATTCTGTCAATGACACTTATATAAAAAACAAGAACTAGATATTTATTAAATTATACATATATAGGCACATCTCAAAACTTGCTTATAAAATAATATTAGATATTAATTATAGATAGATTTTCTTTGATCTCAAAACACGCTCGACAACTTTTTATATTTTTATACCAAGTACGTAAGCACACATTTTTAAATATATATTATTGGAAAATTTATAAAGCAAATTGTATTGAAAAATGTGTGGATTTTAAAGTAAAAATATGTTTATAATTAAAAATGTTTTGCGTGCATATTTTTTTCTTTTACTTAATAATGGAATTATTTTTATTAAAATATCTTCTTTTTATACTTGTATATATCTAATTCGAAATATAATTATTTTGTGTTAACAAAGATAGCATAAATCCATACACAGTCGTATTGATTAATTTTTTATATTAGTTAATCTCTTTGAAAATGTATCATGTATGATAATCACTTTTCTGCAAGTTATACATTCTTTTCAATTTTTTGTTTAGTTTAACAAGTAATTTAATTTGCATGCTTGATTTTAAGTTTTAAACTTTTCCTGCTGTTAATTAATTTCTTTATATCTAAATATATTTACTAAAATGTATTTTATTTAAAAAACTAATTTTAATATACATATATTACTAATTTTGTAGTGTACGAATTGGATAATGCATTATAGTTGCATGGCTTTTATATAAGCAAAATATCCATATTTATTATCAAATGCTATTTGCATCATTGATTCTTGTGTATCAGCTATTGTTATATAAAAATTATTTTTATGTTAGAAATGTATTAGACATTTGATTTTATTTAGAGAAATCATGAGAAAACTATTACACAAATTCCATAAAACTTTACTTATACATTAAATGTCTGATATAACATATGGCATTGTATTTTTGCATTTGAGTGATAATAAATATGGGTTTCTGGAAATGAGATACATAATACTACAATTGAGTAACATATAGCGATAATATTTTAGATGAGAAGACAAGGTCAAGACGTCATGCAGGTGAATCTAGCAGGTATTAGGCGAGATATTATGAATCTTGCCCATAATTACAGCAATGCTCAGGTAATTAATAAAGTCTCTTTTTATATTATTCGATATTTTTCATTACTAATATATGCATTAAAAATATTAATAACGTTTAAAAATAACTATTATTTAAAATTAAGAAGAAAATGAATTATACTGAATAAATAAAAATTTAAGTTATCACATAAAAATAATTGATAATCCTTATGTTTTCTATAGAAAGCTGTACGGAAAGCTACTAGCAATGATCCATGGGGTCCAAGTAGTACACTTATGGCAGAAATTGCCGACTTAACATACAATGTTGTAGCATTTACGGAAATTATGCAAATGCTATGGAAAAGATTAAATGATCATGGGAAAAACTGGCGACACGTATACAAAGCCCTAGTTCTCTTAGAATATCTTATTAAGACGGGAAGTGAAAAGGTAGCACAACAATGCAAAGAGAATATTTTTGCCATCCAAACCTTAAAAGGTAAGAAATATTGGAATATTTTTTTATAATAAATATGAAATATTAAGAATTTTTTCACATATTTGATTGCACATTATTGGAGCATTAAAAATTTGTAGATTAAATCTAAACTATATAATTAGAATAACATTGCTTTAAAGATACATTTTTCTAACATAGTCCAATTACTCTTGCACAGATTTTCAATACATGGATGGGCATAAAGATCAAGGAATTAACGTGAGGGAAAAAGCAAAACAATTAGTGGCCTTATTAAAAGATGACGAGAGATTGAGAAATGAGCGAGCTAGAGCATTGAAGGCAAAGGAGAGATTTGCACAATCAGTTAGTGGTTTTGGAAGTGATGGCTTGGACACTATGTCACCTGTTAGCAGTGATGTAAGTAATATATTATCTATAAGAATATCATTGATTAACTATCTAAAATTTTAATCTATAATTATGCATTCTTATTTTGTTTCAGTTTCAAGATTGGGAGCCTTGTCATTTATCCGAATTATCGACTAGACGTGCAAGTAAATTTCCTTTTATTTCCATATGAATATTAATATGCTTATCATATCTGCAAAATTAAAGTTAATATATGAGAAAGAAGATTATTATGAAAGATTTCTTATAACTTAGTTTCTTTTATCATATCTCACATATCTTGATGTATGACATATTTTTTTATACGAACGAAAATACGAGTAAAAAATTTATTTGATATAAAAATTAATACAATAAATTTATCGTTTAGCGGAACTGGAAGCCGCAAGACCACAAACGGTAGGCGAAGAAGAGTTGCAACTACAGCTGGCCTTGGCTATGTCCAGAGAAGAAGCGGAGCAAGAGGAGCAAAGAAGACGTAGCGACGATGTTAGATTGCAGTTAGCTCTCAGTCAGAGCCAGCAAGATTTCAAGTGAGTAATCATACAAATCAAAATTTCCAGTACAATCTAATAATTCGACTCTAAAGAAATGATCGATTTTGCATTCGTATATTAATATTATGTATATAAATTTCAGAACTCCACAATCTGAAAAGCAAAGTCATATGCTTGACTTACTCGATGTAAATCTAGGAGAAGCGAGCGGCTCTTCAGTACAAACTGATCCTTGGGGTATTCCGATAGCAGCACCACCACCTAGACCACAGGTATGTACTAATTATTCCAATCAATTTGAAAATGAAACGATTGCACTTTGCATGATAACACGAGATCATTTTTGCATGATACACCACAGTCTTTGGATTTAGCTGAGTTTTATGAGCATAAGGTATGTCCTTGATAAATGTTAGAGGACATTTGAAGCAGTGTGTATAGATGACGAAACGATAGCTTAGAATAATTTGCAGAATTGAAGAATACTATTTTTGTTTTATATACAGCCACAGAATGATCCGTGGAGTGTTCCAACAACGAGTACCACGTCACCTGCGGTAGACCCGTGGACGCCTGTTCCTCCACAACGACCAAGTGAGTTTCATTATTCCAGCAAAATATATTCTTTTGTATAATTAAATTTAAACTTTTAATTTAATTGTTATTTAATTTCTGTATTTATATATTCTTTTTGCATGTTCTTACATCTTTAATGATTTCGGATAATGATCTCAGGCTCTTCAGGTATAAATAAAGTTACAATTTTTTTCGCTGTTTTTCACGATTTAGTAAAATTGTATTTAAATTTTCATTGAAAATATATTTACTCTTTGTTTTCGATATTGATATTTAATGAATAATTTTATGAATAACCGATTGGTCAAATTATTAGTTAAATTATCCTTAATTTCAGCGGCCACTATCGATCCATGGCGCGCACCTGCTCCGTCTCCTGCTACGGTCGTGTCTCCTCCTCGTACAAATGATCCTTGGTCACCAGTACCGTCTACTACTACTATTACTGAATCAGAGACGAACAAAGTGCAGGTGACATAGATTTATTCTCTGACATGTTCCACGAGTTATGCAAATTCATAAAAACTCATTGATTTGTAAATAAAATTTTCTTATAGGCAACTCAAGACGGCATAACATCCTCGTCGCCATCTTTCAACAATTCAACCTTGACACAAAATATTGGCTTTGCCGCGCAGTCGCCTCAGAATATAGGATTCAATTTGCCGCCGGTGTCTTCGGATACTACCTTTAGCACTACTACTAACGGTTTCAACGGCACAGGACTAGGCTTTAATAATTTTTCCACTCAAAATAATGGTAATGCTGCCGCGACGAGTCCGCTTAGTGATTTAGACGAATTCGATGTGATCACCAACAGAGGAAAACTTGGAGCGAGTCCACAGACGGTTAACAATGGTACTTGAATTATTGAATCATGCTTTCCTAATAATGTGTTATTCTCTATTAAAATATTATATCATTTTAAAATAGGTGGTACAACATCGGGCGACCCTTTTGATCTGGGAGGCATGGCTGAGAATCTTTCTGCTAGTACTGGTGCTGTAAAGAAAACACCACAATCCTTTTTAGGAGAGAATTCGGCACTCGTTAATTTGGATAATCTTGTCAGCGCTTCGACAATTAAGCCTACGGCTCCTACGCCTGCAGGTAAGTTTTTATTTGCATTTAGAATAAATGAAACCTTAAAATCGAGAAAGAAAAGAGTCCAGTATTCAGACTCAAGATTCATATCTATTAGTCTCAAAAAGACAAATATTTTTTTAATATTACACATTCCGTTAAAATCTAATTAAAATATTTATAAAACGATATAATATAATAATAATATATTTTTCTCACGAGAAACATATTTTATTCTGTAACATACCCTATGTCTACAAATAGCATTTCATTGGAAATAAGTTTGTGAGTATCAATAACAGATTAAAAATGTAGCATGATTGCATGATTTGATTATGATATGCAATATAATTGCTATGCTTATTATATATAATGATATATTTTATATGTTGTTCCAATCTATTATATTTTTTTAATTAAGAGGGTGTACTGCGATTTGAATCTTTCTTTTAATATTTAAATGCTTGAAACAAATTTTTATAATATAATATTCTAATAAAATAAAATTACTTTTCTTTGCAGATAGAGATTTAGTTACTTTATATATATATATATATAAAATATAATTGCAAAAAATGTATATAAATAAAATTATTTTTTGCAATTATACTTTTTTTTTTATAGAATGTATTTGTTAATAGGATGGAAGAATAAATATTATTTTTAATAATATATGAATTATGAATTATAAATTAGAATATAAATTATGTAACGTTTTACTAATATAATAATATTGTAAAGTAAACCTAAAAATTGAAAGATCTATATCAATAATATCTAGAGTTAATAATAATCAATAGAATAACTATTATCATGACAATGAAAAGTAAGAGATAAATTTTATATTTTATATACATATAATTCATTTCTTTTTACGTACTTTTACATTACAAAATAACAAATTTTTCATTTTTATTTTCAAGATATTGATACCAAAATCTTGAATATATAAAAGATAATTTTTAAATGCTTGAAACAAATTTTTATAATGAACATAATAAATTATTGCGCACTAATAAATGAATTAATGTATTTGCAGCAACTATGTCATATGCAGCAAATCCGTTTGCAACTGTGACTCCACCACCCCGTCCTTCAATCAATCAGATTCGACAGGATCCATGGACAGCGAATACAACATCTGTGGCTAATCCGTTCCTCTCGTAGCCTGATCGATAAATCGAAAGCTTCATAGTTATTGCGATTTACGAGACGTGGTTTGCAGTTCTACACGTAACTCTATACGGTATATAGATTTCGGTTACAACGGTAAAACACGATTTTAATTATAGCAATTATGCATGGGAAGGCGCGAATAAGATCAATGTGAGAGAGAGGACATCCTCATCAATGAATATTTTATCGATAATTTAAAGCATTACTTTTCGATGGATTATATTGCAATACACTTATACTCGTTGTACAAGTTTTCCTTTCTTTTTTTTCTTTTTGCATGTATTACTCGCTTTTTAAAGTTTATCGTGAGATAATCACCTAAACACTAATTAGTAGAGTGTGGCATACGCATAATTAAGATAATTGGGTGATTAAAAAAAATATAAATCATGTTTTAACTCAAAACGCTTAAGCGATCCCAAGGTACGACTGGATTTTATATATATACTCCTTTCTCTATATAATCTATATTTTCTATGTATGAATTGATTCAGAGAAAGATTGTCAGCAATAACGCTTTTGCTGAGGAAAGAATGTAACATAATGCTGGCGTTGAGATCAGTTTATGCGTTTTATATTTATACACACGTTTTCTATAGTAAAAAAAACAAAACGAGATCGTGAGACTGTAATCGTGATTTGCAAAAGCACTATTATATATCGAACTAATTCCGTTCACCGTTATACGCTTAAGATGTGTCGATTATGATCTATAAAAAAAAATTCAATGTCGTGGCTTGCTTTCTAAAAAAAAAGAATTCAGAATTTGAAAGGCAGCTAGTATGTTGCAAAGTGTATTGAAAATTTCGTACATAACCAATCATATACTGTATAGTCAATCATTTCTACGAATGACTTACTGCGACCTATGACACACCAAGGCACTTTTAATTGAAAATGCAACCATGAAAGTAGCATTCACATTAACGACACGAATACTAAGGAAATAATATGTATTATTTTTAATTATCTCTCGATTCTGAGTTTTAATTGATCCTAAGTCCTAAAGCATATTTTGTGCAGATTTGGCATAGCTAAAAAATCAAATTAAAAAGAAAATAATACGATAATAAGTGTGTCTATTCGAGAATCATTGATATCTAAATTTTAAAATAATTGCGTTATTTCTAATCTAAAGTTATTTGCAATTTAACTGTTTGCATCAACATCTAAAGTTATTTAAAAATGAAATCATTTGTAAGATAAATTTATACAAAATTTACAAGATATTCTTGCCTATGTGCTATCATGTTTTTTTTAAATGCGAATGACTCGAAAATATGAATCTTTCTTTATGTATAAGACAATTTATAGATGTATCTTGATTTATATAGGAATTGTACATAATATTACACAGCATATTGTTCCCTATTTGTCAAATGTTTGTAATGCGTTTAATAGATATATAGACTATTTTTCATCTTTAAAAGCTGTGTCTTCTTAGTTTTGTTCTTGGGTTTTACATTTTGCAGAAAAATTGGTTGAACTATTTCTTTTTTTAAATTTGCTATTTACTGATACTGATACTTTTTTATTATAGATTGTACTTTGATTATAGATATATTTGGTTCTCATATATTATGCATTTATGAGTAAACAAACATTATTTTCAAATAAAATCATCGAATCATTATAGTCACAGCATCTTTTTCTTAAAAACAGCATTTTAGTTTTATTGAAAAACTCAAATTATACATCATTGACAAAAGGGAACTATATCCGCTTATCTCTATGCAAGTAAATCAAGTTGCACGATTCAAACTGTTCTAAGTAAATGTCAAGGAAATAATTCCAATGTATTATTTATCGTTAAATCTATAATTTCTGTTGGCTTTATGCAATTTTAATATACTTGCTTATATGAGTGAAACTGTATATTTAATATATATTTATTCAATGTTCGCCAGAATATGAAGTTAAAACTTATAATATATACACAATAATGACTGAAAATTTGATTATACAATCATTATTTTTAGTGATTTGAAAATAAATCTATTAGCCATTGGTGCCTGTTGAACATAAAGATGTTCACAGCATTTTGTATTTTTCAATTATATAATTTTATTCATATAATATCTTTTTTGTTTATTTACATAATATATCAATCATGATATATACATAACTTCATCTCTGTGCGAACAGTGGAATATATTTGGTTAGCTTTTAGAGCTAAGATGTAATAGCAGAAAAATTCAAAGAACATTTATATAAATAAATATTATATATTTTAGTAGATTATATGATATACTTATTAATATTATACAAATAAATATAAAAATTTTTAAGTTTTTTCTTCTTTAAATTAAATATTTAAAATTCCTTGGAATTTTTTTTTGCAGAAAGAAATATGTATATACTAATTCATACTCTCTCTTATATTAGTTGGAATCTATATATTTAAACAAAAGTACTAAAAATATTCTGTAATGAAATGGGGAAATAACATTACAATATTCTTATTAATCTTTTAATTAAAAAAAATGTTATTTGTCTTTACATGAATATCCTTACTGAGAACTATACATTAGGCTTAACATTAAGTCTCATAAAGTGATGATCAGAGAATTTTATATATATATATTATATATATATATAATTTGTCAAAATATTAAAAAGTATATATAACAAAGAAAACGAAATATAAAAAATTATTTTTTGTTTTCATAGTATGCATGGAATAATTTTCTCAACTTGTATAAATTATCCTTATTTATACTATTAAAGTAATTTTTTAATAAAAATAATATACATACAAAATTTTCCTATCATAATAATATGTTAATATGACTGAATTGTTTTTTTAGAGAGATGCTTCAATCGAAGAATTTATTGTAACCGGTGGAAGAAAGTATGAACGAACTTGACTATGTAATTGTGCTACTTCAGCATCTTCTCTCTCTAAAGCTCTAATGAGCTGTGCAAATTGTACAGTTCCTGTTTTGTGCATAAAACAATTAATTCTTCCATTTTATTAACAATTCCATTTTATTAGTATATGAATCTTATGTATATATACATGCCTTCTCTTCCTTCTGGAAAACCATAATTTTTTATGACATCCATTTGAATCTGCGTCACTAATGGAAATACAAATTGCATCATTTTCAACATTTCATTGCCAGAATTTTCTTTTGCCTCTGTGATCTTTTGCAAATTCTCTGGTGTATTCAGTGCTGTCAAAATATCTGTCAATATAGCTAGTAAAAAAAAACAAAAAATTTGTTTATATGTCTATTAATTTGATAATTTTCAGAGTTATAATATTTTAAAGTAAATTGTTTAAACTACCTTTCGCAGTTTCTATTGTAAAACCAGGAACACTTGCCATAGTGTACACTCTACAACAAAGAGAAGGTTATGTTTCACAGCGACTTATATTATCGCTACGTATAATATAAATTCACTAATTATATGCAGCAAACACAGATCGCTGTTTAATATTTCTCGTAATTAAATTGATCAAAATATAATATAGAATACACAATATAGAAACTTCAAAATTATTTATATAACCTCCAATAGTTGATGTAAGTATACTGTGCTTTTCCAGACTATCACTTGTAGTTTAATGCACTTTTATTCCGTAATATTACCTAACAATTATTTCTTTCTAAATAATATTAGATAATAGAACTGCAATCTTTTAACTGATTTGCACTTGTTGAGATAACGATTTGACGTTTACTTATATGTATATGTTCCAATATATTCCGAGTTGCCAATATGGAAAAAAAAAATTCATATACATATACACTTTCATTCATTCATGTATGACGTTCTGGCAATTAATGAAACGCAGCTATTTCCGAGAACGTCAGCTGACAGCTGTCAGCTGATTGAAGTGTTTATCTTGAAGTTAGTTGTATGCGCACGTATTATTATTCTGCCTGTATCATTTGACGTTCTTTAGATTTAGATTAATTAAATTTGTAAAACTAAACGCGAACGATATTTTTTTCTTGGAGCATATCTTGGATTCTTCGATATATATTTTTTTAATTATATATTGTATACATCAACTACTTTATTTTTTCGCTAAACATTTTATTTTCTATAAATTGTTCTATAGGTTATTTTAAGCATTTTTAATAAAAGTTTGAAGCAGTATATATAAGAGAGAGTACAAGTTAGTTTAATACAATTGAATTTTTTTTTACACTATATATTTGAGAAGCAGCTTCTTATGTATTAGCTGATATTAGTAAAATATGTGTTAAATATGTATTTGTAGGACTTTATAAATTTTCTTCAGTTCAATCATGGAAACGAAACATGATCAAACATTTTTACACATACTTCGTGAAGAAAAGAACATTAATAATTTCTTGGATGCTTTTTTTGGATTTTTATACAGATGGTGAATATATATGTTATTAAAGGCATCAATATTTTTTATCCTATATTTAAATACTTTAAATTGGCCTCAATAATCAAATTTCTTTGTACAATAATATTTTATAATAGCACAGACTTTTATGTCGAATCAAACTTGGAACAAAAATTGGGCTTCCCATCTGGAGTAGTGGAGAAACTTGTATCAAATAGCATGTACAAGTGGAAAAATATTGCATCAAATTTACAAAAGACAATATCTGTAAAGGACAGCAATAACAGCAGTAGCATATCACAATCAAATCAATTAACTTTGACAGATAAAATTGAAAATTGGAAGCTTCCATCTGTTGTGCAAGAAATTGAGATTGGCTCATGCAGTGAATCTACTAACATTATTAATCTACCTTCTACACAATCATTCAAGACAGATCATATGTCAGATAGTTATAATGGAGCTGTAAGAGATAATTATGTTTGGACACAGACACTCACTGACTTGGATGTAATTGTAAAAATACCAGAACATATCAAGACCTCTAAAAATACAATTAAGGTCAATATAAGTTCAGACAAAATCAAAATCGATGTCAAACCTTTGAATTCTTCAACAAATTCTGAATGGGATAACATTTTCAATGACAAGCTTAGTTTTAAGATTCGAAAAGATGAATCTATATGGAGCGTCGAAGCTGGAAAACACATAAACGTACGTTCATTATGCATAAGATTTCAGATTTAACTTTCTAAAACACTGAATTCGTATTTAACTTGTGATATTTATTTATTCATCTGTACTTATAGATTCATCTTGAGAAAGTTACCGAAAGATGGTGGGAAGCCTTAATAATTGATGAGCCGAAAATCGATTTAAGTAAGATTGACTGTTCAAAACATTTTGATGATATGATACCAGAGGAACAGATGAATGTGCAGAAATTGATGTGGAACCAGCAACAAAAACTTTTAAACAAATCAACGTTCGAGCAAATTGTAACTATGTTTTGTCTAATTATTTATAAAAAAAATAATAAATATTTCAATAATTTATAATTGCATTTATAGGAGCTGGAGACTATTTTGAAGCAAGCGTGATATGCGAAAAAATCACCTTTTCAGGATACACCTTTTGATTCTTCAATTTTAAAATATAATTAATGTATCCAACTGTTTATGTTTTCTAATTATGATTTTCATAAACATCAGATATATTGAAAAAGTCAAATTGTATTATATTTATACATAATTTTATAAATACACATATATGTGTAGCAATTTTTGTCTTATAGAAATTTCTGTACTTTAATATTTTATTTAAGAAAGAAAGAAAGATATATTTTATATTTAATATAAAAATTATGAAAAAGATAAACGTAAACTATTTTTAAGTAAAATTAATCTACAATTATTATTTATATACATTTTGAGAAAAGATTTTAATACTTCAAAATAAAATTGAAATAATTACAAAAATCATACAAAAAATAAGTCTGCAAATTAATTATTTTAAGAATAAAATTTTGTGTGTCGGAATTTTTCTAACTTCTCAAATATTTAAAAAATGCAAAATTATTTTGATCTGAAATTTAAAACTTATCTTTTACATTTATATTTGATAAATAAAATATATATTCATTTTTTTCGTATTATAACACTTCACGATAGTATTTTTCTACGTCGTGATAGTCGTCGGATATCGCGGTATTTCCTTTATTTGGGAAATAAATAGCGTCTACGAAAGCAAAAAGAGCAATGCTTCTGGCGGCGACACCCTGCGAAATCATGAGCGATCCAAGAGTTCACAGAATGCGAGGAATCCTACGCTTTTCCCCGACGTTTACGTTGACTTTATCTCACGGTGGTGGTGGGATCGCGCTCACTATAGGGACGAAGCAGGAGCGAGGTTCGACGCGAGTAGACGGCAGGTACACAGCCTCGAAGAAACTGTTCTCATTTCATAGAACGACTTTCCTAAGCTTTTACCTCGACCGCGTCCAAACGGGTTTTCATAGATATATGGACGACGACAAATGTCACACGTATATATAAATATATATATTGATACAAAAAATTTGTTTCTTAATATTAATTATCAAAACATCTGCCTCATATGCAGGATTTATTTAAGTAAAAATTAAGTTATTATTTTTTAACAAATATCCTTTTTATTAGTAGAAAATATCCACACCAAGTTTTATTTTTTTTAATTTGACTGAAATTTGAGGGAAAAAAACTTAATTTTTGCTTCTCTTTCTTTAGAAATGTGTATAACTTCTTAGGGAGGGATATAAAAGTATATGTTTATTAAGAAATCCCCCTTAATTTTTAACAAAGAATCATCTTCTAAAATTTTTCGAATTTATTTAGACACACCCTGTATATATTATTATCAAAAAATAATTAACAAAATCTCTATGAATCACAAATTAATGTTGCGCAACTCAATCGAGTCTTTGATCAAAATATGGTATATTGTAATATATAAAATTGAGAAAAGAAGTATATTAAATTGAAGAAAATTCTCTCAATACGCAATTAATATTACTACGAATTTTAGTGATTATTTTCAATAATCATCGTGGCATGAAAATTGAAACATACACGCCCGCCCAGTAATATTTGTGCAACTGTCAAATCGGGATCGCGGAGTCTCGCGAGGAAATGCCTGCGCAAAGACTAGCGGATTCTTTTTTTCCGAATGAAGGGACCACTTCTTCAAGCTTGCTGTGTGCCAGGTGCAACAGGTCGCTCGCGTTGAGCACCACTGCGGGTAAAACACAGGTAATATACCTGCCCGAGGCTACGAGTCCGTCCCCACCTGGGGTCCGGTTCTCTCTCCTTGCTCTCTCGGCCGGCTCTCGGCTGGCTTTCCTTCGAGGCGAGTCGGGGCCGTTAGTGTCGTTGCCGTTGTGAGAGGAATAGTGGTGTGTGATGCGGAGCACGCATCCTGAAGGACGTATTCGTCGCATACCCCGAAGAGTTCGCGTCCCTTCATTTTTTATTACGATTCCCTCCCTCGAGTGAATTCCCGCGGGACCGGCGCGTCACGTTCTCCAAAATCTTGAACTCCGCTCGTGGTCCAGCTCTCTCTCTCTCTCCTCTCATCCTCGTCGAAAGACTTCGTCGTGCGGTAACGCTTCGCGTGGCAGCGACTCTTCCTTCCGTGCGCGGATGCCCGCGTAAACGGTAGTAACCACGTAAGTTGTTGCGCGGTGAATGTGAGGTGAAGCTAACGGAAGAGACGAAGAAGGCTTCGAAGAGGAGAGTCTCATCAGAGATAAAATTACCGAGATGCCGTGCTCCGCGGTGACGCTGTCCCTCGCCACCATAACCGGTATCATCGCCACTGCCCTTCTGGCGATCGCCTTTTCCACGGACAACTGGCTCTATACCGAGGTCAAGCGCGCCCAGATCCAGGTTTGTAGCGATGTCTGTGATTATATATCTCGGAGAAGTGTATGCGGAATACGGAGCGCCAAGGGTGCGATACGAAAGTCGAAGATCGAAAGATGGGATAATCGTCCCGAAGTGATATATGAATAATGTAGAATTAATTATTTCGCTCGGATTTAAAGAAGAAGATATACTTCGTCGCGATGAAGAGTTTATTTATGTACGAATGAATTCCCCTGACTCGTTTCACATTCTTTTCTCATGGTTTTGTTAGAAAAGGATATAAGATTGAATAAAAATACTATTTAATTTTAGCTAATGTTTGTAAGAAATATTTTGAAAATATTTCGAACAGAAATTAAGAAATATGAGAAATTGAGAATTTTATATTTTGAAAATATATAAATAGAAAAGATATTCATTGCCATAAAAATATTTTGCTAAAATATAATCATTCTAATAGTTTGTTACTTTGTGTTAAACTTTAAATACAAAAGAAAATACGTATGACTCAAGTTTATAATGTGTTTACGAAATTCCAAATATATTACTAATATAAATATAGAATATGTATGCTTGCTTTTCTATATTTTTATTTTAGATAGAAAGCACATTATTTTGTTTTCATCTTTTACTATATAAAGCACTTTTATAATAGCGTTTATTATATTTCTAAATTTGAGACACAATTAAAAACCCTTGCATTGTATTCAGAATAATTCAAAATGAAATTCATTCTTTTTTTCCATTATCTGGATTTAAAACGGATATGTATAATCAGAGAAACAAAGAGACCAAATTTGGAAAATTATAAAAAATGCAGTTTTCAGCATCTCTGCGTTAGGAATGCGCGAATATCTCTAATATTTTTGGGATTTTATAAGAATTAAAATTTATAAAAGCATGACATGTAATATGAAATTCTTGCGTCATTCGAAGATAGAATGACTGTTTGGCACGTTCTGTGTGTATATATCTTGCAGGATCTTTTCTGGGAAGAAATTACAATGCAAATTGTAATCTTTTACATGCTCGTGTATAGCAGGGTTTCATGTTGCATTAATGCACGTAATTTGAGATGCATCGCAAAAATCTAAAATCTGCGAAAAGAGGATGACGAAATTTTATCGTGCTGTTCCATTCGTGTCTCATCGTGGGACGTCATCAGCGTCGTTGTTAAAGCAAAATTCGATTTAGCCGCGAACGTGCCCCTAATCTGTACTCTCGACGCAGCGCTTATTCAAATTTTGATTAAACTACCGTTGTACGCGGATACTTCGCGGCTTGGATGAAGGCTTCGATCATTTATGAAAATGGACATTTTCCTGTCCGAAGTTGGATCACATCCGGATCCCATTATTCTCGAAGGCCGAAGCTGTCATCAACTGGCGTGCTCGTGAATCTAATTTTTTTTTTCTACATCCTCTGCAAAACATCGATCCTTAACGATACAAACACAGAATGCTATAACGAAATTCGATCGTGATATACCCTGTAATTTTTTTTAAATTTATACGCAGTTTACCTTTTATCTAGTTATCTAGTTTTCATTTTTATTAATAACGTATATATTTGCGTTCATATGGCATGTAATTACATTGCACGGTGATATCCTTAATCATTATAATTTTATTTGTGATCATATAACGGATATTTACTGTTATATAACAAGTTATTCTTCTCATTATAGTAACTACATATTATTATTATTACTATTATCAATCTTTTGAGTAATCACAAACAATTAATTTAAACTGCAAAGCTATTTTAAATAAAGATGTGCGTCAAAATGAGCGGTTATTTAAGTGTATCTATTAGAAAGATTAAATTTATACTTCAATGCACAATTTAAAAATATATAGAGTGTATATAGAATCGCGTATTTTATTTATTTTTGTTACAATGTAATTGTACAAAAATACAATATACAATTTCTGATAATGGAGAATTTTATGGAAGCTATTGTAAATATTATGAAAACAATGCAATTATTTTTTCGAGACACTGAAAAAAACATTTATTGAATTCGAATAAATATTTATTTCAATACTGTTTTATAAATCACTTATTTAGAACTAATAATATTGATTTAATGTGAAAAATATTTATTTGATATAAGAAAATTTTTTTTTTTAAACAGATAAATATTTATTGATTTTAAATAAATGATTTATTTAGCAGTATTAAAATAAATATTTATTAATGTAATAATTTTATTTCAGTCTAGTAATTCATAATATATAAAAAGAGGATATAAATAAAAATTAGTCCAGAAAATTTTTCTAATTAAAATGCACATAGGATATTACGATCATATAAAATGGATTCAAAAATTTAATTAATTAATTAATTAATTACTAAGGCTAGTAAAAGATAGTGTTAATTGACGAGGAGATTGCGTAATTTATTTAGGTTTAAAAAATGCATTCTTCCTTAAGAAAGGAAAGGTAGGAAGTAGAATCCCTCCTTGTGACTTCCGCCGTCTTGTCGTGGGTGAATGTACGTGTCAAAGGCCAAGTTTACCCTCTAGGGTCGTTGAAAGTCGAACGGATGTTGCTCTTGCAAACTTTTCATGGAATCTGTTTGAGAGGATGTCTGTGGTATTTCGAGGGGGACATACCAGCGAATATTAGTGAGAAACGTTCAATTCAAATTCTCTTTCTCTCTCTTGTCCGATTCTTCTTAATAAAAAATATTAGTCAATATTATTGCAAGCAAGCTTAGATTATGTTGTTACAAAGAGAATTATTTAAAGAAAATAGAGGCAATTGTCCTCTTTTTGAAAAAAATATCTCAGTTATTAACTGAACACTTTAAATAATTAGTACGATAAATTATAGACACAGTTCATTTTTAATGATTAAGATTGTAATGAGAAAAAAATTGCAATGGCAAAGTTTATTATCGTACCAAGTAATGTATGCAACCAACTTCGTATTTGTTTGAAGAATGACTGTACGTCTTTTGTATGCTAAGCAGTTTTTTTCTCGCAATAAATTCTTTTGAAATGAGGGTTTAAGATTCTTCAATGCTTATACGTTCCAGATAATCAGAACTGCTGATTCGGAGATTTTTTGAAATTCATTTACGTCATATAATTTTTAATCTAGAATTTATGATAAATCATAGACAGTCTTTTTAACAGGAAGTTTTTTAAATTAATCCATTAGCATCGCTAGTTACATCACGAGTTGGCAACTAAAGAAAAACGCAGGTACAAATCACCATAGGCATATAAAATATTCCAGCATTGATGTAACTTCTAACTTCTCTCTTTCTCTCTCATTTTCTACGCGACGCAAATAACATATTTGTAATGTATAAAACAATGTAAGTTATACAGATTTTATTATCATAAACATGTAGACATTTCTACATGTATCTAAGCATGTAGATGTCATTCTCAACATGATTATTACAACAGAATCTACATGAATGATTTCGCCATTAACGATCGATGTGCGATGGAAGCAGAATACTCTGTGCAATATTTTATTTACCGCGAAGAAACGTATTATTTACACATGCCGTGTATTTGACGTTACTCTGAAGTCGTTATTCCAAGCAGCTGAACCTGCCTCTGATTAAATCGGATTATCTCGTCGTTAGCGGAATCTCATTTCACGGGTATCCCGTTCCTCTTTGCGCTTTTCTCTTTCTCTTAGCTCTCCTCTCCTCTCCTCACGCTTCTCTGTCTCGATCTCTCGCCATCTCGTCCCGAACGATTCACGTTCAGAACGATCGACATTCCGAGCCGCGCCCATTCTCAGCACGTTGGTTCAACAAGTCTTGCGTTTAATGCTCAATGCACTGACATTTTACATTAAACACTCTTAATTCAAACTTGCGTAAATAGAGAGCACACGTGACGAAGGTCTAATCAGAAATTTATCCTTATTCTTAAAAGAGTCTAATTCTATCTTTGGGACAAGAACTCCACGCAATACTTCGATTCCCATAGCTGTTTGGATTTTTTTATTTCTTATATTAAATTAAGAAATAATTTTTGAATTTTTTAAAGTTTTTATGCTCCATAAAAAAATAGAGATATTAACTACAGATGTCACCTATGAATGACAATGGGACAATTAAAGGATTAAAAAAATGTTAAAATTTTAGCAAATTTTAAAAATCAAAATCTTGTATAGACTATATGTGAACTCAAGTTTCGAAGTTGCTTTCAATAATAAATAATCTGCCACTTGCAATACAATTTTCTCTGCTAAAAATCTTTTGCTTTCTTTTTTAAATGATTTCAGTTAAAAGTTTTTATTCGAAATTTAATTGATTTTTTTTTGCATTTTTGCGTGACTCGACCATTTCACTTAGAGACTTAGAATCGGCATGCGGAGAAGACCCACTAATCCACTTCGACGGATCAGCCACGCTGCATCCGAAAGGATCTCGCGTTGCGATTCCGCGAAGAGGCGCAAAGTGCATCGCCGCATATAACGTGTGTGTGTACTACGCTCTGTTATTTTCGCGCCTTTTATCCTTGACGGACGCGCACGCATCACGATTCCTCGACAACCAGGCGGTTACCTCGCCTTCTCGCTCAAGATAGAAAGAAGTTGTCAGGGGAGAACCGTGCGTACAGTTATGTCGTATCGCGCATCGCGGCGAGTAAATGTTAGCGAATGCATGCAGCATTTGAATGTCGAACAGAGATGAGTAAAAAATAGTATTTTAATAAACATAGTGTTTGGAAAAAAAAAATATTCAGAAGAAAACTTAAGTTTTTCTATCGAATTATAAACGATTAATATGAAACAATAATTTATTTAACGTATATACATTAAATTTTTCTCTAATAAAAATATTTTCTTACACGAATCAGAAAAAATAGCATAAGTAAATTAAATTATATTCAAAATAAATGTGTAAATTTACATTTCCAATTATTTTTCTCATATCATTGCATAATATTTAAAATGATTGATCCAAGTTTGAATGAAAAAATGTCGAATATTGACTCTAATAAGAATTTCTTTTCAATAATTTTTCTAAAATTATTATTATTATTA